CGTACATAGCCTAACACCATTATGTTATATTGTGTATACAACCAAGACATCTGGAATGTGGGTACAAAAAGGGAATATAATGTCGAGTTGAAGTACTTAAATTTCATTTTTGAGATGGTGGAGAGTTGTAGATCAAAAGAATTTTTTCAGAAGAGTTACGTCCTCAGAACTTGATTAGTTTAACAGCGAAGCTTTCATTATCTTTCTAGACAACTTCAATCAGCACAAACGTATTATAAAAGTGAGTTAATAAAATCCCTGCATCTATAACTAACCTATACCATGGTTAACATTAAATATGATTGGTTATTGTCAAAATTTTCCCTATCAGTGATTGTATAGTTAAAAGTAATCAAAATAAATATGGTGTCAGGTTTGTTCTGGTGATGTTTATGTTCAGAGTAATAATGACTAATTCAACCAACTAGTTTAGAGAACGTAAATCTATCAAAAAGAAATTTAACAAATATACATATTCAAATTAATTAGGACAATCAAATACAGTTTTGTAGACTAGCAAGGATATATGTATGATGTCTTTATCGAGTCTCTAGTGTATCTTCATGACAAAACTGCCTAACTCAGAGAGTCAATCAGGAAGTAACAACGTAGAACTTCGTGCGTACGTACATCAGTTCGAGTTGCCATACCTTATTAGCACAGAGATGCAGTTGTCGATTCAAATCCCTTAGTGGTAGAGGCAGATAAACTAACAATAACATATGTCAGTAATATAAAACAGTCAGCTACAACGTAGGACCAACACAATATGGTTGTTTTAAGACAAAAAATATAAATAACTAGAATGAATTATTTTCATTATTAGTAATTCATATTTACAAGTATACGGCTAGAAAGTGGTAAATTCCACATGGAAAATATTAAATAATGATGGATAAAACATCTAATCACTGTTCTCTAGTATTACAACCAGTGAATGATATTACTAGTTTAGTAAAAATATACTAATCAAAATACTAACCAATAGAAGTTTATTCTTTTTGTATAAAAAAATGTCTGAAGTAATTAAGAGTCCTGAGTTGAAATTCAGAGACGCTTACCGAGGAAAAATCAGTAATAAACTAAGTGAACCATAGAATAGAACTTAATGTGAATGCATACAGTTAATCACTGTGATGTAGTTTCACTAATACATAGAATTCAATTATATGGGACAGAGTCGAGAAGCGAAAGAAATTATTTGTATGTTTTATAACAATAGTATGTCTTATTTGTTTGAAATAAGGCAAATTATCTGCTACTTTAATCCGGATAGGCACCAATGATGCAGCATAACATCAAAGCTTAACAAATCGCTCAAACTACACAAGTAATAACAGGTTCATTTATAAGGTGTATTGTATGTGTGTGATTTAAAAAATCTGGATAACTAGCAAGTCAAAATATTATCGTAATATAAATTAAGAGCCAAATCTAGAGTATAATTCTGGAGTAAGATTTATAAGTGTTTGACTCTTCTCAATAGTGAGGGAGATCAATCCCAGTAGTCTTTAACACATTGAATAAAAATACGGAATATTAAAGTACTTACAAATGAAATAAATGGCTGGACAGATAATAACAATGATATAACATACAGTGTATCATTCCATGTTTCAATAAAGCAAATGAAAACAATAAAAGCAGAACTACTGTAGTCAAAATGATAGTAATCATAATCTAATCATAACAACAACAGCAAACGATTAGAAAGGGGATTAATTAAAATTGACTAGCGGTTGGCATTTGAATCCTTAACATAAATGAAAATAAAAACGCTTACGAACGAAATTTACGTTTACTACAAAAGTCCATGGCCATTTGAAGTCAGTAGCTTACTGAATGACTTGTAGGTGTATCAAGCGACAGGTATTGGGGTCCATATCTTAATGTAGACATCAACACTGAGGGCACCTACATCCAGCTAACAAGTCCTGAACAGAAGGAAACGGGAGCCTTGGATTCCATCGTCAGCATGAATATATTTTCAATAAAACTCACAACTAAGTAATAAAATCGAAGTAATTCGACCAGCATGTACATATTTTAAAAGAAACTGATCAGTAGCAATACAGAATATAAACAATATGGAAATACAAAACCTTACAAATACAGTGGATTGAACAACTGTTTACATCATTTCTTTTTAGGACATAGAATTATGTTCAACAACTATAATGCATTTTCATATTGTAAATAAGTAACTCCATTATAACTTGAGTGATGTACAAACTGACGTTTCCGTGCATCAGATTCACCAGGATTTATTGATGACCAACTGGTAACATTCAATAGACCAATAAGTCTTTTTAGCACGATAGATCAGTTTATTTAGATTTCAATGATGCTTGTAATATTATCATACATAAAGTGAATTTAACAAATATTTACATTAAATAGTCGATAAAATCAATCTTCAAAATAACCAATTTTCTTACTTTCTAAATTTAACAAGGTAATTTATTTTGAGTAGATAGACTAGATCAGCTGATTAGATAAAACTAGATCGATGAAACTACTTTCTAATTTTCCGAAAATTCTCTTTACTCGGCGCCCAATTTCTGTCAAACTATTCATTCTAATCTTGACGAATATTCGTATAAATATTATGATCAGTTAAGATGCTTTAATACTGGTCACCGAATCCGAAACAATCTATGCATTAGTGTAGCTAATAATTTTGATTTGTCAATTTGTGATTGAAATTATTTACTCTTTTGTATGTAAGGTGACTGGAGATAGTTGGCAGAATACACTCCACGATTAAGGTTGCGCAGGATAAAAACAGACTTGCTTGTACTAGATCCCGTGTGATCGGGCCGTAATAACAGGAAATTAGTTGTTCGATTTCTCTCCAGTCTAACTATCGATTAGTTCATCTACCTGTACTGGTAGTAGGACAGATGACCTATTTATCAACTGATATATAGACCAATAAATAAAAAGCAAGACATTAACGCTGATTGGCTCTTGAGCACCTTTATAACACAGTGTCTGATCAGAAGACGAAGATAAAACCAGATCAGTCCTCTGTTGTACTCAATTCAATAATGGCTGGAAATTCATACAATAACATACTTGAAATGTCTGACAGTACACCAACAATGGGGAAATTACTAAGCATACGCAACTTAGTTATAAAGTGATATAAAATCAGAGTAATTGGAAAACAATTAATTGATGATAAATTAGAAAAAAATAAGACATGGTAGTGATTTATAGATCAAATAAAAGCTCAGAACTACAAAAATATAAAAATACAATAGTCTATGTGTCTATCAATTATGAAATAAAAATGTAAAGAATAATTATTTGTAAGGTAGCTTTAAAAGTTATTGTTTTACACTATTCGTTTAATTATATCATTTAATTATTCATGGAAGTGAAGCTCATAGTGCAATTTTAATTCAGTTCACTCAGCTTCCACATACCTAGGAAGCATCATCGATGAACAAGGAGGTTCAGATGCAGACGTAAAGGCGAGGATCGGCAAAGCAAGGGTCGCATTCCTACAATTGAAGAACATATGGAACTCAAAACAACTTTCAACCAATATCAAAGTGAGAATCTTCAATACGAACGTCAAGGCAGTTCTACTGTATGGAGTTGAAACTTGGAGAACTACAACAACCACCATCAAGAACGTACAAGTATTTATAAATAATTTACTACGCAAGATACTCAACATCCATTGACCGGATACCATCAGCAATAGCCTTCTGTGGGAGAGAACAAACCAACTTCCAGCTGAAGAAGAAATTAGGAAAAGACGATGGGAATGGATAGGACATACATTACGCAAATCGTCAAACTGCATCACGAGGCAAGCCCTAACTTGGAATCCTGAAGGGAAGCGAAAAAGAGGAAGGCCAAAGAACACATTGCGACGGATTATAGAAGCAGATATGAAAACGATGAATTACAATTGGACGGAGCTAGAAAGGATTGCCCAGGACAGGGTTGGATGAAGAATGCTGGTGAGCGGCCTATGCTCCTTCACGAGGAGTAACAGGCGTAAGTAAGTAAGTAAGTCACTCAGCTTCATAGTCTAAGATGTTAGTACTGACTTTTATAGGGACTATGACTGACTCATATTGTATGTACACAAATTAAATTCATTATTATTACGCTAAAGTGAAACAGAAAAGTGGTTAAAGTTGCCAGAGTTTCAACCATCATGTAGGTACTTAGTTAGTTCTATCTACTTTGGTTTGAGCGGCGGTACGAGACACGAATTCCTATACACATACACACATATATATACGAATAGCGAAACTTAAAGCCGTCTACGCGCATTTATATTTTGAATATATAGGAGATATTAAAATCAAACTAACAGATTCATTAAGGCTATTATCTGATAAGAGAGGTAGTTATATGCAAACAGAAAAAGCTTTCATTAGTTCGATTAGACGCAGGATCCAACCAATGTTTTTTTCGTAAAAATAAAAACTAGAAGACCCCGTGTGTAGGTCATAATACTCAAGCGCTGGTTATTTATCAAATATCTGTCACCAATATTAATCAAACAATAATAAAAATAACTATATTAATAATACACTCTATGCAAACCATGCAATCTCAATAAACAATAATAGTTGAGGATGTAGAAATTAGTGAACAGAAAATAAAAGAGCATTTAATTCAACAACATATAGTGGTGAGTAATTCCATGTAAATGAGTGAGTGAGTACACATTATGAAATATAGTGTTGAAAAGGGGATGGTGAAAGATAACGCAATTATTAAGCCATACACACAGAATAACTTATAAACATTAGTGCTCACCGAGAGTACTTAATTATACTATATGTATAGTTATATGCTAAGTGTACTTGAGAATTAGAAAAATAGTAATGGTCGTAAATACAATGATTTGCAGATGTTGGCTTATGGTATCGTACAAAATAGATCATTTCTGCTTATTGTTTTTAAAAAAAGAATTACATACTATGTACAAGTACATTTTGTTTAGATTCTATTATTCTGTTGGGAGATTTTTAATTCACTTTTCGACATTGACGCTTTCTTATAAATGATTCACTAAGTATCGGGACAGGTCGTGATATACTTCCAGATGATTTGATAGAATTACGTGAAGAAGGAACTGGACAATCTTGCTGTTTATCAGTAATTAGGGCTGGTAGAGGACGACGACGATTATATGGTTGGTGATGATTACGGTGATATGCTGTTGTAGAAGGTGATGATGACCAACTAGGAATTTTAAATGCCATCCCATAAGGATCATAGATGGGAGAGGAGAGTGTTGAAGAAGCATCATTCATGAATTTCTCTAATGAAGCACAATCAATCTGACTGAGTCGATTAGATTGTCTCTTTTTAATATTGTTTATCAAATCAGACGATTCATCACTTATTTTTAATGTATTATTATTATCATCACTATTATTATTTTTATCAATGTTTGACGGAAGTACTTGTGAATTAAAAAGAGAAGTATCAACTTGATACGATGATATTTGATGACTATTTTGTATAATACCACATGATTTTGGTTGATTATTGACTATTTGTAATAAATTATGGTCATAATAAGATGATTTGTTAAGTGGTGATGATAGATTATTCTGACTATCATTAGTGTGTTTATCAGCAATATTTGAATATTTATCACTTGAACTTGATGTACTGAAACTAATTTGACTAGGTGTACGTTCAATATCAGCTGCTAATATATCGTACAAATGTAGGATACGTTGATTATTATCATTATTAAATGAAGATATTAAAGCGGTAGATCTGTATCCGGATTGTGGTTTAAATCTTCTACTGTAATTATTTCCTGTAATTGGTCCTTGATCATTTTCAGACGACATGGTAAAAATTGATGATTCTGGAGTGGAGATCCTTCGATTGAGTTCGCCCGTACTACGGTACCGGTTCGGCATTTTTGTGATTGGCGTAATGTTGGAGGAATTGGATCCCAATTTACTTCTAATCGCATAAGGCTGTTTTGATGGTGAACTAGAATATGAGCTTTTTCTTGAGTATGTACCGTTACAACTTTGGACTTCGGATGGACACCGCACATCGTATTTCGTAAAGCTGATGTTATTAAACGATGTATAGTAGATGAGCGCTTGAGTTGAGCTGTTTCGATCTGATCTATACAAAGGTGAAACATCTTGGGAATAATTTATCATGATCAAGTAAAATTCCGATCGAGTGTAGGAAAGAATATCACAAAATAAATGGAAAATTATGATTATGTACACACACACACACAAACGAAGATACGCCCGTAATACGAAGCATTATGTTATAATATAAGTTAGCACAATATAGGATCAGAAAACAAACCATATTTATGAAGAAGAAGAGAAATAAAAAGAAAACATCATTACAATGAATTTTTAATATATCGAATAATAAAATACTTTTTTTTATTTAAATTGTCACTTACAACAAGTCAGTTAATCATAACACAACGTAAAACCTGACATACAAGTAAACTGGTTCAAGTTATCAAACTACACAGCAATACAACGAGACGGAATTATAATGAAAATACTAATGTAGCGATGAAAGCAGTAATAGTATCACTTGTAGTAAACACTAAGCGTAGATAATGAATTGAGAAGGACGAATTCCTGAGATTGAAATAATAAAACAATTAAAAAAGTAAAACAAAGAGTGAATACATTTGAGCCGTTGGGAGATATTTATATCACATAAAGTCTCAAGCAGCAAGGACCCCATTTCAGTAGTTAGAACAAGATAAAACGGCCCAGCCCGACAATAACTTTACACACTGATGGTATATCTCTAAAAAGGACACCTCTAGCTTTCCTTCAATTTAATATTATGCCAGAGTACGAAAATAATCGAGGTAAGGAGTGGCTAGGCAAAACATTACGTACTAGATGTCTCAACCACCTGAGTTGATGGGGATTCACTACCTTATCAAACGACTTCCATTTTTACCTAGTGGCCTGTATACAATTCGTCCATAAAAAAATATGAAATAGAAATAATGAATGCTTTACCATATATCAGGCAGTCGGAAAAACCCATCATTCTTTGATAAAACTCATTAAAATTAAAAAATAAAATTGGTATCAAAACGTTGAGAAAAACCACAATTCAGCCAGAGATCTAAATCTAAATTCCTCGAAGAAAAACAAATGTCTAACAAATTACTAAGTCGGTTAGTGACTTTTGTGAAAAAGAAAGTATTCCATGAAAGCCAAATCCTTTGAAGATCTGATTTGATTATTCAGTGATTAAAGAGAAACAATTCTAAAATTATATTCCAGAGAAGGTGGTTAGGAGGTAGAGAGATATACGATATAAATTTATAAGCACATAACGAAGGAATACTCATATATAAAGAAATGAATAACCATCTTGTATTACATAGAATAAAACAATAATGACAACAAATACAGAAATTCTTATCGATAAAGAATGAATATGCTTCATTCAAAGACTGTGTATACGTTATTGTAATCAACTATGAATTATATTTGTGTGATACTTTATGCAACTGATTCAACTGATGAAGTGGTGTATGCATATGCGACATGTCAATTAAATATATGTGTCACAATTAATATTCACCATATATATACTACTATTTTACAAGAACTACTACATTATATTTGACTATTAAAACTCATACCTTCTATTCAGAGAAATTGTAAATAAATAAACAAAAAAAAGCGGTAGTACAAAACCAACAGATATGATGACTTATAAAAATATGAAATTAGATTATGCATAAATAGTCATTTACTGTTTTATCTTGTTCAACAAAAAACCAAAAGAAGAATATGATAGTTTGTGATGAAAGAAAATAAATAAATAAATAAACTAAATCTCACCTGTCGATTTAACACTTTCATATGTTGTTCCTCTGTAATAGAAAATGGAAATAGAATGATTAGGGAAATGTTAAGTTAATCAGTTAGGTAACATCAAATAAGTGTTTAGCATAGATGTTTATTGTTTCAAGTTACAATATGATTTTAGTAAGATAAGATGAAATTAACAAGATGAATAACAAAACAGATCGAAATAATGCAGTACTAATGAAAATAAGGAAAGGTAAACGTCGATTCTAGAAAACAGAGTGGGAAGGTATATATGAATACATACCAGAATTTAAGATTAAGAGCAAAGTAAAGAATGAATAGATCTGAACGATTGTGAACAATTTGGCGACATGTCATCTAATATCTCCAACCGTTGGTCGCAGTTATTACGCGGACCTTAACCAGGTAGTTTGTATCGACGTTACAGAGCTCTGTCTGACAGTGACTTCAAGTTTTAAATTGGTCACCTCTAACTTTCTCCTAAATTACTTTTACACTGCTCAGTACCCCATACCTAACCTATACAACACTGCTTACGTGGTAGTCCCACGAAAGGAACACACTGCTTTGAAGATAAGTATGATCAAACACCTGTAGCCTATGCATGCATTCTACTTTTAGAGACCGTATTCCACAGCTGTGCAGTATACACGTTTTTCGGTTGGTATTGTGGTGTGTGCTACTTATATTGACATAAGTAGTATATGATGTTAGTAGTGAACAGAAGGTCTGGCAGCAGAGAGACAAGAGGATCGAACAGTAAAAAATGGAAACAGAATGCAATTTGTATGGAAATGCAAGAACAATGAAGTCTGAGTCATATTGAGAAAATTGATGGACATTTTGCAAATTCAGCATTTACTTTATGATTGTTAGATTTTATATATATATATATATATATATATATATATATATATATATATATATGAAAGCATTATCACACATATATCGTTAGCATATTTCTAAAAAAATCCTTACAGGATGTCAGTCGTAGCTCAATCAGTTCAGGGGTAATGTGCATGTGCGTGAATGGAGCATTCAGTGATGCAGATTTGAATTTCCTAGGGATTATGAGTTCTCTGAAGATTGCAAATACACACTATTAGTGGAGAAAACTAATATGGAATTAAGGTCTACAGAGGCCTTATGATCAGTGAGCCATGATTTCAAGAGTGATCGAAATTACGAAAAACGAACATAGCGAAGTAACTAACTTATGTCACAGAACAACCACAGGGAATAACTAAACGATTCAGTAAGCCATGACATGATATCATGGAGATTACTGAAACATAAGAACAGAAGTACTTTTTTGCGACTTATAGTTACAGTAGAAATATTTAGAACCTGAATAATTCTAACGTCATTTACCAGGTTTAACTTATGAGAACGAAATCGGTCATTTCTTGTTCATAAAGAGATATTGAAATAGCTATAATTATGTGGTAAATCCAAACATTATTTTTAAAAATATTCTTTTGTAGACCAACCTAAATACTATTATCACAATAGTTTCTAGAGACTGTCAAATGTTATCAAAATCTCGAGCAGGTCTAAGTTAGAAAACCAGGAGTTACTGAACAGTGATTTCGTTCTAATATGGGACTCTTAAGCAGGCACATACAATAATGATCGGGGGAGATCTTTACCATAGAAGCTTCTTATGGAATGACTTGGTTTGAGCATATCTTAGACAAGAGTCATTGTGATGTTGTCGAGATTACGTTGGGTACTATACAGTTAAAATTTGACCGGCAACAGGAATGAGGTGACATGAAATTTATTTCTAACCCATAATCGATTAGTGTAAACGAAACAGATATCTTAATGAAATACTGGAGAAATATATGAAAATTAATAAGTTCATTGAAATCAAATATAAATGATTTAAAACGTATGTGTATGAATGCGTTTCACATGAAAAAAGTCAATGTTATAAATATATATCTTCATGCTTACTTGTCAGCCAAATCAATAGTATCTACGGAACAGTTGATATATATGAAAGAGAGGGGAAGAGTGAATTAGCAAAATACTAACAGTGAATTAAGCGAAATTGTAAGCATTGGTTATGATAAGAGAAAGCCTTTCGATAAATTTAATTTTAAAGTTTCCTTAAAGTGTATTGTTTAACCACTTATATGTATGGTCGTTTTATGTCAAGTATTTGACTTCGAGCTAATATGTACACGCAAAACTTCGTCACAGATCGAATGATCCAGGGTTTGCGGTGTGTTACAATTAGAATACTACATAGTAAATCGATAATCTAGCAACATGAATCTCGCATATAAACAAGTAACACAATAACCAGGATGATTTTCAAACATTTGATTTAAGCTATAAGCAGAGATTGTTGTGGTTTAGTGATGAAAGCTTACGGAGATTCATACTTTCGAATATTTATTCTATCTCTACTTCAGTTCAGGCAACCAGGTGAGAGATCAGTAGCTCTCAAATAAAATGTTACAGTAAACGAAGTACATAAAAGCTATACATGGTTAATCTATTTCTGTAAGTAATAAACATCTAACTAAATCATTAGAATTCGACTAATTATGACCAGGACTACAAAAACGTTTAACATACTAGTCAGGTTATCAGACAACACTGTTTAATCGTAAAATCAAATCCGTGATCACACTTGTTACACAGAGCCTTTGACGTAAGCTTTTACCAACAAAAAAAAACTGGATAAAGTCGATAGTGTATCATCATCATCACATGTAAAATCAGCTGATAATTGTCGTAAATTAAAATCAAATCACCTATTAATGAAGTATGACTGTTAAACTCGGAAAAAATGTAACTTTTTCTAGTGAAAAGGTATAAATAATACAAAACAAAAAGGAAAGAAACAACTATGAATGAAATATTAATATGAACAATTTTGAAACGGCACACATACCATCTAGAGTTTTGATAGCAGCCATAGGACGATGAAGACGTTTGGAAGTACTTTGCTTTAATGCTATTTATTCGATAAAATAGTAAAACAAAGCAAACAAAAAGTGAATAGCTGGCCATATAAAAAGAGATCAAAAAGTAACTATATGAAATAACAATATGATAAAGGGGATGTACAGAAGGTTTGTTTTAAAACGGATTCAGACAAAAGAACAATACGTCAACGCCATATATATATACATACTAAAGTATGGTATTGAACAGAAATACATATAAAAAGGGAGACAAAGACAGACGGATGAACGAAAAGACGGACATACTAGACAACAACACAATCAGAGTACCATGTAGTAATTAAAAGCATTTCAAGGTCAAGTAATCTGAAAGGTGAACCAGACTGGAACAATGTTCAAATTTTAACCAAAATGAAATTGACGAAAGTCGATGGAAAAAAATATCGTGCTTATCAAACTATGAATAAAGCAGATAATTTTAAACATAAAAAATTATAATATACTGATTATATCACTCAATACAATGTACAATCTGCTATAATAATACAGAATTGAATCAGCTTCACACCAATATATAATGCCTAAAAAAATTTGACCACACGTAACTCAATACAGTAATCATATATATTATATATTATTATTATATAGTATTATATTATTATATATATCACATATATTTTGCAACGATTAAATAGCATATGCATCAGAATCTGCATTTAAATCGAACGGGACTCTTAACCTCCATTAGTTCTGAAGTAATATATAAACTAGTGGTTCAGTGGATAAAGCAAACCATTCAGAGTTTGTAATTAATAAATTACAGGCTGAAACACACCACAATATCTACTTCAGGTTGATCAGTCAGGTAGTATGACTAGTCCTTAAACACCATCAATATATATCAAAGTCGAAATACATAACTGTTTACATTAGGCATACATTTACAGTTTGAAAGTATTACATAAAGATAATCATTAGGAAAACTATCAAACCTTTATTATGAATGAAAGTGATCAAATTTTCATATCAGTGTGTATAGTTGTTTAACAAATTAATCAACAATTAAGACGTTGAGTTAGGTGGAAAAAAGTAAACTTGATTAGTTTTTATAAACATAATATTAGAAAAAAGTGCGTAATTTAGTACGTTTTACTTTGATACAAATTTAGCACTAATAATTCCGTCTTAAAATGTAACTACTTTTGAGAAAGTTACTAAGAGAATGGGATTAACAGACTTGATATATATGGTTCTAATAAATGATATTATAGGACAGGAGGACTACCAACGACCTGGATTATTTGCATTGAGTTAACCTGTCAACTTCTTGAATTGTTCACTGTAATCTAAACATTTTACTGTCATCTATTGACCAGACATACATTTTTATCCATTAGGCTTTAAGATATACATAGTATAAGAGATAATTCCTGACGTAAATGCTACATGGTGGCCAAGTTTAGATTATGGCTTGATCGACCAACATAGACTGAAACATTCGTCCCTTTGAGTCGTACCGAGTCGTTGGAAAATAATAAGACTAAAAGCAGCAAACTTTTGTTCCGGGGACGAAGTCGTACTAAGGTATAACGGCAGTAGGGTCTTCCCTCAGTTAACTAGCATCTGTAGCCATACTGCACTCTCACAAAGAAGGTAGAGGGTCATAAAAAATCGGAACTAAAAGTATGACACCACACATTGAAAAACAGGCTTCCGTTGGCCACGATAAGGTATTAAAAGTAAGAAGCTAACATATCCAAACCTACTCACTTAAATGTCGTGTGTGAAAGGCCTCGAGTATTTATCTCTTCGACACTGCAGTCACCAGTCATCACATAAGATCACACCTAACACTCAGTATACTTATCAAGCACCTCACGAGGAAGTTTCTTTAAGCGGTGAAAATAACCGAGAATGAATAGGATACATATTTGTATATTGTGCCAGGAACTGGAGGCAGGTATCGAAAAAAATGAATAGCACTAAGAGAGGAATGGAAAGAAGAGCCAGGGACAAAACAAGTTGGAGATTCCTGGTCAGCAGGCTATGCCTCAAGAGGGGTAACATAATTTGGGTTAATTATATATATATATATATATATATATATATATATATATATATATATATCCTTAACACGCCTGAAATCATGATAAAGATTAAATCTCATTACGTTAAAGTTTATTTAAAAAAATCATACTAAAGGTATAGTATTGTTTATACAGTGTTATGGAGCGATAGCTTAATGATTATGGCTTTTGACTTTTACTCACTAAATTGTGGGATCGAAACTGCCCCAATTACATTGGTTCAGGCAACGGAGCAGCATCGTTTGCCCTTACACCTAGAGCGTACGTGCTGAACAAGTTAATTTACATTAGAAATTACAGTATCGTCACTAGTTATGTAGGAGTATCACGGTTGACCTTAGTCCAAAAAAAAGATAAATTAATTTGTTATTTAAAAGGATTACGGAAAATAGAGGTTGAATTTGATTTAAAAAACACTCAAATTACAACTATGTTAGAAAGGAGTTAGGTTCAAAAACGTTTAATGAATAAATCACTGATGAGAAACTTCTTGTTAATTATTCTAATTCTCTTTTGAATGCATTTTTATGAGAACACTTTTAGTGAATTTATAAGAATGAAATTTTAGATTTTACATAAGTGATAGTGTTAGATTTCCTTGGTCAATTGTACAGAAAAACACAGAGTAAACAATTAAATAATGAAAAATAATTATACTTCAAAAACTAATAATGAAACGGAAAATATATGATGATAATACATGTAGATAGCAAAATGTGTCAGCCACCTGTTTAGATACAAGGTTACACATTTTAAGATAAAACACATGTATGTTGGGAGTTAGAGGTAGTCGAAAGGAAAACTATGCATGACCTAGGTTATGTACAAGTTGGCACTCGTCAGCAAGGTATACCTATAAACTTCAGGTAGCTGATATTCCCATGTCACACAGACGTTATCACTGAGCTATCCAGACCGTGAGTGACTATCGTCTTTAGGAATGACATGTATTCACCACTGAGTAGTGAATAATGTCATGCATGTCCAGTAGTTCTCAGTCCCAATCAAACTGCGTGTTCTAAGTTAGAAGTCGTAAATTATGGAAAAAAATAATAACTAAAAGATCTAGTAAGATCAATAATCACCGAGAGAAATTTTAAAAGTGATAATGATTTGAGAAAATGTCACCTACTACTCTATCTGGAGACTGAACAAAATCAGATAAAAAAAGAAACTTCACTTCAAAAACAAAAATTTAGATAATCTTTGGATGAAGACAAATATTATTATTACCACCACCAATCAAGTACTAAACAAGAACAAATTCACACACATAAACACATAGAAAGCAATTCTTTTCATTGAAAAAATAAACATTGACATATTTTGCGTATTAAAAGGAATGCAGATAAAACTACTTAACCTTAAATAGTAAGTTGTTAAAAATGGATACCAAATAATTTCAATGGTTGTGAAATTAATCTTTTATTGTGGTGGTAACAATATAGACAGATGTGTGAAGATATTATTTTATGCACTCAGAAATAGACATTCTGATTTATTGATTAAAACATGATAATTATGGAAAAAAAGATTTGTAATCATAGAGAACTATGAAGTATTGTTCAATTATTCCGTTGTAGTACCTAATCACATGTCCAGGTCTGGTAGAGAGAGCTTAATCATTCAGACCATTGGAGTTGGTATTCAATGGTCTACACTTCTAAATGTATTCATCTTTACACATCCACACCCTATCAATTGTAGTAATTCCGTTGAATAATGCCTGATGTAGCAATGGCTATATATATATATATATATATATATATATATATATATATATATATATATATATGGAGTTTAATGAACATTCTCAACATTATTTACACTATCATCTATACATTTATATACTCAAAACTGTCCAAATTACCAAGTGGAAATAAGAAAATTCTATGATATTTTGAAGTGATATAAACAAAAAAAGAGAAATGCTAGATAAAAGTCATGCATAAGATCAATATGAAAATCTTCAATAAACTGCTTTTTTAATTGTTGATTAAAATGAAAGTACACCAACGGATAAATATTACAAAAACACAGAACCGTAACACAACAACCATAAAAAATAATCAGTAAATCCACTTACCAACAGCTGCTTGAGCTATACCAACATGAAATTAATTATAATAACACATAAATATGATGAAATATATATATCTTGCTTCCTAATAGAATTGCTACACTAAGAATTATGCTTATATATATGTTATTAACCATTAGCATGAATGAGTGTGGGTGTAGTAGTAGTAGTAAAAAGAAACAAAACACAATTTAAAAATTGGTATTCTCATAAACTAACTATATAATGAGCAACGAAACAGAAAAAAATGCACAAACCTGGTTATGTAGATAAAGTTATAAATATACGTGTATATATGGATGTATAAGTAACTAACACGTTGGAAAGAGAGTAAACAAAATACACACAACACAAAAGAAGATTGAATATATATATTGACTAGCTTGCAAAAATTAGAGCGAGGGGAAGATATCTAGTTAATACTAGTTACAACTATATTTTTAAAAAACTTCAGACGAAGATATTGAAGGTGAGGACAAGAAGATGGACAATAAAGAAACCATGAAAATGTGTTTGTAATTGTTATATTGATTTTTTTGTCTTGTATATAAAAATAAAACACAAGTCGGTTTTCAATGTTATGAGAGATTAGATGGTACATTTATGTATATGATGATGAGTACAGTTTCGTACTCAGATCATGAATTTGCCCTTTTCAGTTCTAATAATATTCAACCAACTTATCTGATATATTAGGAACTAAATAAATAAATATTTCAGCCAATGTAAATCGAGCGAATTCTCATGATATACAAACCGGACGACCATATCAACGTGACAGTTACGATTGGATGAAACACAGGTAGATGGCATTGTCTTAAGAGCCGAAAAACAACTCAAATTTTATTCAGGATACACAGAAACCTGTTGTGTTTTCTGGGTTAGATGACTTAGTCGTGAGGCTTCCACTGAATTTCAATATGAAATCATCATGATTAACAGGATAGAACTATGGTATTATAACATGTTAAGTTAAAAACAGTTCGCTCTGCAGACATATACCATGAATTATTGTTCATACAACCAATCAAATCCAATGTCTATAGAAGCTGTTATTAACTATGTAAACCAGTATGACCTCAGCTACAAATTTGCTTCATCAGCTTGTAGGAATTCGAATTTCGATGACGGAAAAAAACTCATATTACAACAATTTCAAAAACATATTTAACCAACAAATTGATGGAGGGAGGTCAGTATTTAGCTTTATAAAGCATTACTGATACACCACCTACAATTGACAACAGACACAAAGCTAATTCTGTGATAAAAATTTTGCAAACGAATTGTACATTAACAAGATTTTTTTAATTTATAAGATGAAGAGAAAATAGTTAGACAAAGTGACACCAGGAATCAATCAATTGAAAGGATTATTAATGACTATTAATTCAAGTCGGCGAAAGTTTCATTTTCGGTGTGTTGTATGTATATACATGTTATTATGTAATGCTCTTTTCAAGTGCTTTGAAGTGAACAATTCACTCATGCGTACCCATACGACTGGAAATATACATTGAAACAAATACACGTAAAACTTAGACAAAACAATCGATGATCTATAGTGAACAACGTTAAGAAAAACAGACAAACAAATAATGATTTACCACATGGTAAGATGATTGACATAACAAGAAAACAAGAATTCGAAATATAATATGAGTATATATAGATACGACTGAACTATTTACCAACAATCGACTTAGGTTAAGCTATAGATATTTCAATATTACGAGGTATGTACAGAAAACTAACATTCCAGGTATCAAATTTTCACCTTATACGGGTTTATAACGGGGAACACAAGATTAAAACAAAACATATATGATATTGTTATGAAATAAAGAATTATTATTAGTCATTAGAAACTAGGAGACGAAGATTATATATGAGGGAAAAAATAATAATAAAATCCATAAACGATGACACCAGGTCAAAAGGTAAGCATGTTGGTTGTGTGGTAAAGGAAAAAAATACGCACCCATATGAACATATCGCCTGAATCGTGATGTATGCGGTCCAAAAACATTCGGTTCATCAACTAGAAAGGAAATCAATCAATCAAAAAGGCCAAACGTACAAAAAGTATTTAAAAAAACGTAATAATACTTAAGTGTTATGTAGGGTTATTGTATATCAAGTTTAATGTTGTACAAGTTCGACTAATATGATTTCAGTTGTAATTATTCAATATCAAATTATTATTTTCCATATAACAGCATCTTTTTATTGCTAATCTTCAAATGTTCTGTTAATTTGATGTGTCATAGCCTATGCAGTCAGCATAATAGTAGAAGATTAGAGAGAAGTATGTTTAATTGCCAAATGTTCAACTGATACAACTAGTAGAGGTAACAAATTCAATAAGTTTTTTTTACTTACTTACTTAAAGACATATAGACAATTTAGTAGAAGGATCATTAATGTTTTTACACAACAAACAGTTCATATTCGCAAATGAATACTTGTAAGTAGATTACTGAGTATTTGTTCATTATTAAGAAGTAGACAAACATTAAAATTGAGTCTTATAATAATTACTATTTGAGATAATCCATTCATAAATTCACTGAAAAATTAACTTTGAGATTCGCTTCAGACACAAAGTCATAAATTGATGAGCGTCAAAAAAAGATAATCTGCAATCTTTGCATTCTATGGAGTTCAAATTCATACTACTCAATATAACAGTAAAAAAAACAACAACAACAATTTAAATGAGACAATTTATTCCGTATGAGTTCATTGATACCCTATAATGTAATATAAATGTAATTGAACACTATTACTTAAATAAGAGAATATATTTACTTTAAATTAAAGAAAATAAAACATTGTTTTTAATATTTTGCTCAAACTGATTTCTCTAAAATTCATTACGATAAATATGAAAACACAATACAAGAATTCAAACACTATACTCATTACATGCAAATACAAAGAAGAAAATGAGATGATGAAGAAAAAACAGTGTTTGATAGAATAAAACAATTTGAATCCACTTCAGTGCATAATCAACACAAAAAAAAACAACTTTGAAACAATATACATGCATTTTAGTATACAGACTAATACATAATAATAATAATGGTTAATGTAATTAAAGTATCCTGTGCTTTCAAACTAGGAATAAACTAACAGATGATTATGTGTCAACAGTTGACACAGTATGGTTTTTGTAAGCAAAACAACCATTATAATAAGTTAAGTTGAATAATGGTTAACAGTGGAATCCAAAATACCTATTTTGTTCTATTTTGAACTCGTATCTGTTAGTCACTAATCTAACTTTAATTTTTTTTAAAAAAAACGTGTGACATAACAATTTTATCGAAGCTATCAATTGACAATGTATATACCTCAACAACAGACTAATTAATTTCAGTTCATAACATTAACAATAAGGGAATGATTTACACCACTGAAAATAAAGTTGACACTAGGTTAATTTTGTACATCATAAATTTATCTTATGTTTGACAGAAAATCAGTAGGATACATTTTATTTACATTAACATCTGATTAGTATTAAGTTAAAAAAAAAAGAACGAAATGTCTATTAAACAGACAAACATTATTACGCTCAATAACTACTATGTATATTGGGGGTTAGTATAATTATGTAGGCGATAAATTAGCACGATACATTTCGTAGAAAAACATTGGATATCCTATGTTTTAAGACTACAACAAGAATGGAGTATCTATATTCCATAAATACCTTTCCTATTGCTATGTATCAGAAAATATAAGTCCTTTTACTGATTATTTTTTGAAAAATTCAACACTGAGCACTAATAAGTCAGATGTCTGAACACGTGTTACTGACCTTTTAGCAGCTCTCTACAACCTCGGATTACTTCTGCACTTCAACTCAAACAATAGAGAAAAGGTGCAAAATGTGAGAAAAAGCTTTACTTTAAAGTTAATTATATGCAAAAAAACAAGTGTATTAATAGGGTTCTGCGTAACTTTGATCTTTTAGGTACTTATGGGAACATCCAGTCAAAAATGGTGTATAACCTTTAGTGTTCTATGTTTCTGAAATGCTTGTACACAATTCCGACAGAACAAAATTTTTCCAGACTTCTGCTGGGTTTCTAGAGTCTCAGTCAAAGGAAATTTTTGGACTTTCAACAAGAACAGTTATTAGTAGATAGCTTAAGATGAGTACTGCCTCAAATTGCTACATCAAACATTACTAGGTATGTTTATTAGCTTGCAAACCACATCACATTTTGAATTAAAAGCAGGCTTGACTTGGACATTTATAAAGAATTTACTAAAGACATCGATTGGTTTGATGTTTTTCTGTTTATAGGATAATTATAGAAAGCTTATAACAATACGAAAATGACTTAATGGTTTAGGATTTACAATTTTATTCAAAACCCTATATCAGACAAAAAGTGAATATACAAGCAATAGACAACAATAAATAATAAGGAAATTAAAAATAATCCTGACTAGAAAAACAATCAATAGGAAGGATTTTAATTTAAGAAGATCAATCACAGAGAAATTGGAAACTATGGAAATGTATAATTACAACGTTTCTTAGATCTGGAACAATCATACATAAGTTAAACAAACAATGAGGAGGCATATACACAACGCAATCATTTATACTTTAGACCCTAATTTCATTTAGGGATAGAAAAAATTTGTGGAACTCAGCTTGTAGCTCTCCTAGAGTTACTGATAGTCCCAAGCCCACACAAGCCACGAGGCCGATGCCCCTTGTAATAACTACAACACTAACAATTTTTATAGGTACATGGAACATCCGGACAATGTGGGAGACCGGGAAGACTAGTCAAATAGCAACGTAAATGTGTAATCACAACTTGGCAGTACTGGAAATCAGAGAAACCCATTACAGCCAAGCTGAACAACAATGGCTAGATACGGGAGAGATGCTGCTATACTCTGGTCACGAAGAGGAAAATGCTCCACATACTCAGAGAGTTGTTCTAATGCTTTCCAAAGAAGCGCGTAATGCACTTGTGGGATGAGTATCTCACGGATCCAGAATCATCAAACATCATTCAAAACAAAGGAGGAAGGGATCACAATGAATATTATCTAATGTTATGCACCCACCAATGATAGTGACGACGATAAAGACCAGTTCTATGAAAGGTTGCAATCAATCATAGCGCAGTGCCTAAGGATCTCACCATCCTGATAGGAGACCTAGACGCCAAAGTCGGAATGGATAACAACGATTATGAAGATATCATGCGACAACATGGGAGAGAAACGAAAAAGGTGAGAGATTTGAAAATTTATGCGCATTCAACAAAGTGGTTATAGGCGGTACAATATTCCCATACAAACGCGTATACAAAGCTACATGTATCTCACCGGATCACACCACGGACAATCAGATAGATGATATTTGCATCAGTAAAAAATTCAGAAGGACAATGGAAGACGTGGAGAAAAGATAGAAGATGACATAGATTCAGATCACCACCTGGTTGTGGCAAAGATGAAACTGAAGCTAAAAAGGCACTGGACAGCAGGGGAAACAGCAGTACAAAGGTTCAGTACAGACTTCCTTCGAGATACTGACAAACTCAACTAATTCAAGATAACTCTGAACAGGTTCCCAGCCTTACAACATCTCAAAAAGAAAATACGATGGAGGACAATTGGAAAGGGATCAAAAAAGCACTAACTTCAACGTATCAGGTGCTGGAACGCAATTAGTATCATCAAAAGGAATGGATCTCAATCGAAACGCTGGACAAGATTCAAGAGAGGAAGAACAAGGAAACGATAATCAGCATCAGACGAACAAGAGCAGAAAAAGTCAAGGCACAAGCTGAATATACAGAAGTAATTGTGAACTCCAAATTAGGGTGTGTGAACATGTACCTAAATGGTTGCAGAAACAAATAGAATCAAATGATCCAATAAGAGTAGAAGATAAACATCAATCATCCTCTATTGCCAAAAACATAAGTGAAACAAGTCATAAGATTGATCTTAACTCGGCTTTTGTAGTGTTGTGCAAAAGTGTAAAAGGGCGTATACTAAGGTTTATGGAAGCCTCAGCCAGAAGAAAACTCAAACCCATTTTGTCGATTCAAAAACAGTTCGTTCTCACTTTAAACCTACCCTGGTATTATTAGCTTATTATCCAGAGTGATGAGGTTTCAAATTGTTTTCACATTATTTCTTTATTATCCTTGTCTCCTCTTACAACTTATTTCTAGTCTAGTTGACCTTAGCAAGTATATAATGAGTGATCAGATTGTTCGAAATATATTGCGCTAATATATATCGCATAGTTCTGATAATCTTCGTCTTCTTATTACACAATCGAAATAAATCAAATGTACTAATTGCTTTAGCTTTTTATCCTTAAATCTAAACAAAATTTCCAGTTCATTTAGTTATATTACCTTTAAAATAATCTGGCTGCAGTACAAACACAGACAGGGAATCGAAAAATACAGTGAGATATTTTTCTTCGATCAATGTCAGACTACCATTTAAAACCTGGAGGTACTGGACAGCCGTTCCATCCTAATATGAGACTCCTCAGCAATGCTTCCAGGTTTTCAGTGGTGGTATAACATTGAACAACTCACTATGTCAGTCAAAACTCAACAATCTACACAAACCTATACGAATAGGAAGGATATTTTTCTATCCATTCTTATTACCAAAAATGTATGATTTCACTTAATTTAATATTTGTGGAGTACTTAAATTTAGTTCAGTCCCTGTTTATTCTATAAACCATAAGCTTTTGTTTGATGTATTATTCATTGCCATACCCTATTCTGTTTCAAAGCTATTGTAATTTAAACGTAACGTTTGGTACTCCATTTTTCTACCCTAATCTCCATTCTAGACATAATGTATTTTTCTAATTGCTTTTTCGTTGTGGTCATGTTAGTTATCTATCTATTTATCTTTTTACACTGATCTGAATCGGAATGAGGATTCTGAAATAAATCGAGTAGTGTTCTAGTTGAGTCGTCTTTATCACTTTTCAACCGGTCAGGTGATATAGTTTTCGTCTCTCTGCCTAAAGGCTGAATCCACATTTTTTCTCGAATTACATCTTATATACCCATTTTTTCCTACTATCACCAATACTGTTAATACCCCTAAAACTCTAGGATTTGTCTCGATAATTTTATTTCGCTCTGCTAATGTGGTAGGACAACTAAGACCAATGCATATATGTACGCAGTTCTACGATGAGTAAAACTGACTGATTTTAAACAAATGCATATGTTTCGTAGAATAGCTGTACACACCAATATCTAAAGTATAATATAGAGAGGTATACTTAGAAAAGTCACATATTTGACGGAAGCGATAAATGCAAACATAAACTACCAATAATTTTAAGAAAATACTGATACATCTTGGTACCTGAACAGTTAGACATCGACTTTTTAACCGCTGGAAATTTATAGACTCCTCAGTATGCTAACATCAAGGAGTCAAAAATGCAAGAGCGGTGAATTTTATACGGTCTGTTTTTTGGATCAAGAATACCAAACTACGGGGTTTTATGCAATATCAACACAGACTAAAAAGCACTTGATGTTAAATCTTCTATGTCCATCAAGAGAACTGAATCAACTAGCTAAAAAAGAATACGGCTAGATGAAAACATTTAACTAAACAAAATAATATTTACCTAGAAATAAAAAATAAACAGTATCTATCGCATTATGCAGTAGAAAACTAATAAACAAATGAAAATGACAGAAAAGAATAAATAATTTCACGAAGAAGGTAGTGAATAATACTAGTAAATGTCTCGAAATCTCGTCCTTGTTCTATGAAAGAAAACAGAAACAAATATATATATATATATATATATATATATATATATATTTAATAGTATGTCAATGAAAATAACCTGTAAATTGAATTTTTACAGGTTTCCGAGGTAAAATCAAAATACTATCAATTACTATCCCTATTTTGATGATGAAAAAGCAAGAAAAAGTCAATGAGCTCATGTTGTATGTAGCCGCAGTCGGGAGCGGAATCCCTTGTAGCAGAAGATTAAATTCAAGAGAACAGAAAGGACACGGTAAAGGAATAAAAATAACCATAGAATTCGCGGAATAATTGAGTATTTAAAAGGATAACGTGCAGATATGCAAATGATGTATTTAACGAATGATTTTCATATTTTACCAGACCAATGTGTAACTTTGCATTAGACGATAAATTGGTTTCCCCCAGTTGAATTTTCGTTCACTACAATGTAACTGGTGATCTATTGAAAAACCGTTGGGATAAGTCAATCCAAAAGACATTTAACGCTACAAATCATAGTATATTCAGCTTCGAAGCCATCGTTTACAAAATCCAGTCAAAGATGTTAAAGAACTATATGCCTAAACCTATTTTGTGCTATATATATATACGACTATACAATAATAAAAGTGAACTTCTTGACAAAAGAAGTTTGACGGTTATGTCTACACCAATATTAAATGATACATAATTGACAAACATTTAATTAACTGAAGGCAACAATGGCTTTTTTTCCGATTTGAACACATTCACTAACTAACCAACTATATTAAAGTAACGAAAACTGTTTGAATTGTTTACCCAATAGAAAACAGAACTAAATCAAATAATAAGTACTGTCTGGATGTAGACCACAATGACACACAGAGTGTTCTTATGATGACAAACAAAAAATTACTTTGATCTGGAAATCTTTTGTAAATTTTGTAGTTTTGTTTTGAACTACCAGTTAAACACAGATAATAAGTTTTATATGGAAAATCTACTTCAGATAATCAATAAATATTGTTTTTATTTTTTCTTTATTTATTTTAACACATAAACATCGGTACAAGGAGGGACCAAATACATACGCGCCACACAAATTTCATTCGATATGTGTGAGGGCTGTGATACTGCCCGGGTTCTCAGACCGAAACAGGAGGTTTTCTTAGGGGACCACTCCCCGAGCCTTCGGCCCGAAGGTATGATCCACAAGGCAATGGAGCATCATCAGGAGATGTAGTCTCATGGAAGCCGGTGACCAACGATTGGTTCATACGCCATTTGTTCCCGCAGGATACTGGAGCCCATGTGCACTGTTGGTTTGGAAGCTGGTTAAAGCGCCAGACATTCGCTTTTCGTCCTCTCATTTTCGTAAACACACCCGCCACGAAAAGGCAGTGAGTAGGACTTCCCTGGCAGAGGCTGTATACACGTAGACAAGTGAGAGCATTTCGAGAGGGGAAGCGAACTCTCACCACTCTCAGCCGTACCAGGGCATTTGGGAGTAATAAATATTGTAATTCCATTTGATTACATAAAATGATGACAAGAACAGGAAATTCATTCTCTTTTAATCATATTATTTGTACATAATATTTTTCATACTATCGCAAATAATTCTATTAATTTGATATTCATTTTGATAATCTGATCTTATTGTGTTAATATGATGTGGCAAATTGGACTGATATACATATGTATTAGAGTCAATGTTGGTTAATTACAACGAACCTGAATTTTGTATTTAACAATAATCAGTAACTAATCTAGATAGCGTGAAGTTTCTAATTATGATTATAATTTAGTGAGTCTGACTATTCTCTAATCTTTAAAAAAAACGTTCTGTTGTCTTATTTTTTGAATATCTTGATATTCATATAACAAAACAAACAATCACAATTATTTGCTGAAAGAAATACCTTAAAACTCTGAAATTCTTTTTTTATTTCAAGAGTGTTAATACTTTTAAAATTTACTTCATCGATTGTTTATTATTAGACAAAAGTTGAGAATCAAGGAGCACCGTACAGTTGTTTTAGCTTTTAAGTACAGTACACCTGTAAACACATAAACTGAAGGTGTCGGTAAAAAAATATATTGATCATAGGTTTTCCAAAGAACATTTTCTGAATATAATCAAATAATCACCATGATTAATTATTAGAACATAAGATATTTCGTGTAACATTTAAAATTGAAAATCAACTCATCAAATTCAAATAACTTTAAATGTACACAATTGAAGGGCTGAAGGTGGGGAGAGTCAGCTCTCCCTCTCCAAATGCTCTCACATTGCCACACGTATACAGCCACTAACAAGGAAGTCTTACTCACTGCCTCCTTGTGGTGGGAGTGTTGTCTACCAAATTGAGAGGACAAAAAGCGAATGTCCGGCGCTCCGAAATAAACATATTCGGAAATATTTAATGATTAGCAGTTGCATTATATAGCTAAATGCTTTACTTGTTCTTCTATACAACACTGATAAGTTGAATTTTGTGGTAAATACACAAAGTTCAACTGTTCGACTTCCGAGCTTTCCTTCTTAAAAAATAATAATATCAACACCAAAATAAGATTACAAAGATGTACTTGGTAAGGAACTGTTCAATAAAAAGAATAACAATTCACGCGTAAGAACTTACGAGACTGTATACGTTTGAAAACTGTACGACCAATAAACTCTTGAAAACGTTGAGCATAATATAACGGATGTGTGACAGAAATAGTTTTCTAGTAATTTAACAATAAAAATTAGAAAATGAGAGAAATAGTTTAGATCAATTAGAAATATAGATAACTGATACAGGGGGGACTATAATTTATGGACGACCTTTGAAGGACGATAATGACCTTGAGAATGTCCACCCACATAATACGGCTAAATGGTTACAAACCAGCGTGAGGAATTACGATTATGATTTACAGTTGGCAGTTAATGTTAGGAATTAGATTTGGGGTCTTCATCACGAACTGATATCAGCTAAAATGCTAAAACGTTATCTAGGCAAATGGATGAATAAATCTTGTGCCGAAATCCAATACCTGATAATATGAATCCGATTGGTTCGTCCACAAATTATAGTCTGGTCTTGATGCACTTTTGACAAGCTGATTATCGTAAAGGTCTAATTAGTCTCAATGAACTGGTATTCGATGAAATCTTGGCATAAATTCTCTAAATCCATCCCAGAAGCATGTATCACTCGATGTGATAGGAAGTGAAAATAATGAAATAGGCTTTTACTGCAAATTTAAAGAATAAATGAGCGGCTTTATCGATGAAAAAAAACATCAAATACAACAGTAGAATCAGAGAAAGTGTTATGACTGATGTGACTGCAGGTCTTGATAAGCAGCGTATTTATTGATCGATCGCAGTACAGTGACACGGAAAACACGTACGGACGGCCTAGAGTCTCTATTGGTCTCGCTTCCCTGTCTAGCCCAGTTAGTTGAGTCCAGAACACAAGTCACAACCTCTGAGATATGAATCACTATATTTCAAACATACTTTGTTTATATACTAGTCAAGCATACCACATCGTACCATAAAAATAGAAAACAACATTTTGTACAATATTCAACAAGTGAACAGATATCGACCAATAGGAAATGTCCATTTAAAGTCCAAGGACACCATTGAACTTAACATGATAATTATTGGTCTATTCCTCTGCATCCACAACACCTCCCCTTTTTTTTGAAGATCCGGAGTTGATATCCGGATTTTGAAATTTTCTGGGTTCATCCTCCCCCACGAAATAATGTTGGGTCCTCATATTCCCAAGTTAGAATTAATTTGACTTTATTTAACACATAATTGTCAGATTGAACAGGGGAGTCACTGAAAGTGATTAAATAGTGGGGAACAATGTCGCTTGATATGAGGTCACCAACGTTTGATTCTTCTGGAACATTGTCACGGGATTTGTTGAAAATCTCATTTGTAAACAGTTGATCACTGCGATAATCAACATCTATCAAAATTGTATTAGATTTCTGATCATCATTTAATGCATTTAACACATTTTCTGGTACAAAAAGATCTAGATAATAAGATTCGTCAGAATCTCCTGTTGTTGAATGATGAGGACCATTTGAAACAGCTGGATTCAGTGTACCGCACGATTTGTTCCCTGTTCCGTTGTGGGCGGGTACTGCAATTAATTTATGAGCATTTAATAAGAGATCCTCCTGTGAGCTGGGTACATCACTGTCTGTACACGTTTCAGGAACAGTGGGATTTGAACCCACGACAGGGAACGTTTCGGAATTTGACATTTCTGGACAACTGGGCGGACCATGAATAACTGTCTCGTTTACATCACTGGTCGTCCGGGATTCACAGAGGCTTTTATAAACAGCTTCATATGTTCTGCAGTTGTTTTCCAGCTCAGTCTGCAGATGAGAAATGAATTTACCAACTTCTGTTGCACCTCCGAAACATGGAACATTTACCAACAGTGTGCGTAAATTTTCTAAAAAATTTAACTGGCTATTTTTGAAGCACTGCTGTTGTTGCTCAAGTAGAAGCTGTAATCGATCGGAAAAGGTAGTCATTTTTTTTTCAGCACCTGCAATGAAAATTAACTGTAGGAATAATGACCAATGTTGCTCAAGGACGCTGGTGACAATCTGGATGCTGATTGGTCGAAACAATTAACCTGAATCTCGTCCAATTACAAGGTTCAAAATTTTTCTCCACCCCGTCGCCAATTGTTATGACTGATGTGACTGCAGGTCTTGATAAGCAGCGTATTTATTGATCGATCGCAGTACAGTGACACGGAAAACACGTACGGACGGCCTAGAGTCTCTATTGGTCTCGCTTCCCTGTCTAGCCCAGTTAGTTGAGTCCAGAACACAAGTCACAACCTCTGAGATATGAATCACTATATTTCAAACATACTTTGTTTATATACTAGTCAAGCATACCACAGCGTACCATAAAAATAGAAAACAACATTTTGTACAATATTCAACAAGTGAACAGATATCGACCAATAGGAAATGTCCATTTAAAGTCCAAGGACACCATTGAACTTAACATGATAATTATTGGTCTATTCTTCTGCATCCACAACAGAAAGAAATGAAAGTTCTACAGTGAAGTTAGCTTTCTATACGCAAGTTTTCGATCATATATCATCGAATTGGAGTTCAATCAAACCATCAAGATTGATCTCCCTCTGTTGTATAACCATCCGACTCCGAGATTTCAAAACTTTCAACATCCTAGTCCTGAGCTATAACTATTCCACATCATCTCTCAATTTAAACAAACTGTTTAACAATCAGTAATGAGAGATGAAGAAATTGAATGAAAATTTAAAAATAGAAATATTAGCAGAAATTATTAAGAAATCAAGTTTTTCTTCTAAACACAGCAACTGATTATCTAACGATATTATTCAAATGTAAAACCAACAGTGAAGAATGCATACAACCCAGAATGGGTATAAAATTCATAGTACTTACTCCATCAGCTACCAAAGATTTGAAACCATGTTCCATTTTCTTTAAAATTCGATAACTTTGTAAAATATCAATAACACCAATATACAACAACAATCGATCACCGTTAGTATCACGTGCAGGAATACCTCCAGATCTAACAGAATTTTATTCAAAATATAAAAGATGTACAATGATGGTAAGATGAAACCTGCGAAATATCATTGCAAAACAGTTTCATGTTAACTTTTTCAATGAAAGATATATATATACATACGTGAGTAACAAAGAGTGCACACATTCGTTTAAGTATAACTTCAGTGTGTTTCTTTTTCTATTAGGTTTGGATTGATCTTTTTCATGTTGCAAGAAAAATCAGATAGATGATAGATGGTAACTAGTGTATCGACTAGTTTCGAATATTGAATGGATTTTGTTGACAAGGAATGAGGTTTAAAAATAAACGAAAGGGGGAAATGATGCCTTCAATACGATTTATGTGTGTTGTAGAAAACTAGTAAGCTACGCAATTGTCAAACAATTTGCAAGTATAAACCGGTAGAAAACACAAAAATACATAAAAATGTGTCTATTTGTTACGAAAAGGAAACTGATATAAGTAACTTTTATCATTAATTAAAAAAAAGTAAATTTGATTTGGCGCTTTATATTATTAACTGACTAAATATGATGAACAGCTTATAAGTGATATTCCAGAAATTCCAGTGAAAAATCGTGACTGCTGGGATCCAAACGTCTTAGAAGAAAAACACTTATAATGTTTGGCATAAGACCATCATCAATTTATATCGTGACTGAAAGTGAAATTGTACCCCTGAATGCTAACACAGTGCTCTAAGGGTTAAGCGTTCGCAATAAGATCCGAAGGTCCTAGGTTTGATCTTTGGAGGTCGTGAGTTTTCATTACTTAGGAGTTCAATACTGGAAAGAAATAGCTGTTCAGTGCTTCTTGGCTTCCATTGATCTCACAATAGAGATTAACTTGTGATAGACAACCTATTGACGTTATTAATAGTAGTTCAATGACTAATTACAATACTGAGTGAAAACAGTTAAATATAAATTATGTACGCAGATTTACACAATTCAATTAAACACACACAATGATTTCTACAATATTCAACATTCTTTTCATAGGGAACTGGTAATAAAGAAAAGTGTTATGATAATGACTAATAGCTAATGCAACTAAAATGAGAGCTGAAAATATATCGATGTGCATGATTTGATTACTTATGAGTAGTAGCAATAAAATGGAGTAAACAACCAGCCACGTCTTCAGTGTTCAAGTCAGTGGCTAGTATATGTTGTGAAAAAAAACCGTGATTAAGTACAAGATGGTGCCAGTGTAAGGAAAATAAGAGCAGGGTTCCTACAATTGACGAGCATATGGAACTCAAAACAACTGTAAGTCAACATACAAGTCAGAATCTTCAGTACGAACGTCAATATAGTCCTACTTGGCGGAGTTGAAACTGAGAACTACTATAACCATCATCAGAAAAATATAGGTACTTCAATGGGAACAGTTGTCTATACAAGATACTTCAGATTCGTTTGCAAGATACCATCAGCAGCAACTTCCTGTGGCAGAGAACAAACCAACTTCCAGCTGAAGAGGAATTTGGGTACAGACGCTGGAGGTGGACTGGACATATATTGCGAAAATCATCAAACTGCATCACGAGGAAACCCCTAAGCTTGGAATCTTGTAGGAAAAAGGAAAATATGAAGATCCAAGAACATATTGCGTCGGAAATTGGAGGAGAGTATAGAAAGAATGAATAGCGATTCAGAACAACTGGAAAGGAGAGACCAGGACATAGTTGGAGAATCTTGGTCGAAAGGTCTATGCTCCGCGAGGGTTACAAGTATAAGTAAGTCGATGAGAGTAATGCTCTATCTTATTGCCAGAAACCAAAACTACCAAAAACCACGAGTTTTAATCGAAAAATATCCAAAGGAAACACTTACTGAAAATTACAGGAACTGTTTGAAACATACATCTATTATTTTTCAAGTAAGAAACACTAGACTACATTTGTTGGCAAACGATACCTTTTTAAATAATTTCCACATTTCATTTCCCTCTAATGGGGAGCCGAAAAAGCAAAGCAAAAAGAGTAAAATCAAAAATTGATAGTCAAACATACGGAATAAGTTCACGTTCTTCTGATTCCAATTCAACCGGTTCTGAACTTGCTTTAATGGATTCCATAGCAGTACAATAAGCAACAACACGTTTTTGTGAATGTGATTTATGTACGCCGCGTTGAAACACCGATTTATCCTCTTCATCATTGTTAGTAATATGATCACTTGGTGTTTTTATTTCATCATCAACACCAGATGTGAAATGAGCATGACGTGTAGGTAGTTGTGAACCATTTGGAGAAGATGGTGACGTTTTATTACTGCTCTCATTGACAGCACCTATAAGTCCACCAATACCTACACCATTTGATGGTGAAGTAGACCGATCAGTGTTATTTCCATTACTCTTATTAGAAATATGTGATACTAATCCGTTGGATTTAATTTTTGGGATTGAATTCGGAGATAAGTCAGACGACTCATCACCTGTTTATAGTAAAGAATATATATATGTACATATATTGAGATTAAACTGCATCAGCATTTATGCACAAAATAGTTTAAACCACTTGAAACTCAAATGCATTGTCAATACAAATTAGGGAATGTATCGAACATAAACAAAGAAATCTATAGTATGGTACTATATTCATGTATTATTTTTATTTATTTATCTACTAGAGATGCAATACTATTGAATTTATGTGCGAATTATTATTGAACTGATCAAATATTCAATACATCAATCCATAGGTTAAAGTAGGTACGCCAAATCGAATACTATGTAATAAACGAATGTGCTAAGTACATGAAAACCCACTCCAGCTTTGTTAAAACAGCACTTAACAGAAGTTTTGCCAGAAACTTCTACAAAAAGAAAAGTCATGTCGTGTTTCTGATTGGATGATTACCTATGCTACTACTAAGTTTAGTAGCGTTCCAGAATTTTCCGGAAGCCCGAGGCCATTTAAAATGCTATAAGAACCCTAGATTTTCTGTACATAAACGAACCTTTGAAGTTAAGTGTTTTCTTCCTTATTTCGCGCCTTTTCTCTCGCGTTCAAGTTGCTGTGTAGATTTAGCATGGGGGGTTACTAGAGAACTTAAGAAACCGAACCTAGCGCTCAATTAGAAGACTTATCAATCCCTGTATCTCAGTTATCTCATACTAAAACTGAAACAGGAGATGTTAAGAAGTATAAAACTCAATAAGTCGGTTTAATCTTACAATATTTGTAAATTGTGTTCATTCAGTTACTTATTGATTAACCGGTGACAAAAATGTTACTAATTATTCAAAACCAGATCCTTAATCAATTTTTTAAAAAACCTTCATCGAACATAAATGTTTTCCTTCTCTCTCCATGCATGAAGTTACAGTAGTTATTTTTCAGTCGTAATATGTATATTACAAATGCATTCAAATTATTTCAGCAAGTTAACACCGCTGATAAACTGGTGAGTCTCGTTGCTGAGAACCAAAGATTAAAAATCGCATAAACCGCTAAGTCTGAAATGTCTTTGAAAAATCTAAAATAATTCGTACAGAGATGATTATGATCACAGCTGGGAGAACGTGAATTCAATTAGCGACATCGATTACTATAGGCGATATAATTCAGTGACCAAACCATAAAGTCATTTCGAGATACAGTGAGTAGCATTGAATTTATGAAGCTCAAACGGTAAAAATAAGCGTTTAACCGGAGCAGGATATTCATTAATTTAAATAAGGTCCATATATTACTGTAAAGCGGAAAATTCCACTGAAAAATTTTGAATTCATTTGCCAACATAATTATCACCTACCATTATTCATTACATAGGATAATGTATAAACTGTTCAATTAATTTAGACCTTATGTAGTAAAGTAAACAATAAACACCTACCATGTTCATTTACAGTAGATTCTTTTTCAGATGCATGTTTTTGAGCGAGCTAAATGATATGAAAGCAAAAAAAAGAAAATTGGAAGGAATTTATACATAAACATGTAATCACAATTTAGTGTTTAAAGAGTAATGATAATAAGCTATTTCCAAACAGTAGCTCAGTGGATAAAGTCATTGAGCGTCTAAAATGAAAAATACTGAATTTGACGAACATTAGTGTGAAGTCATATATATCGTTGAGCTCAGTTAATTAATCATAAACCGCGTTGCTCTTAAATCTTGATGCCATTGTGGTATTTTTAGACTATTGAATAGAGAAATAATGGTCAACATTTTTAGCTTCAGTTAATTTTCCCGACAAACCATGATCACAATTTAATACTGTCTGGTTTACGTCAGTTCATAGTGAAAATTACAGGATTGAACGAATATCTAAAAATAGGCGAACTGTAAGAGCCATTCACCTCTATAAATAACACGAAATGGTACAGGATTCCAATCTCAGTGTGAACATTAACAATCGGATGGGTTACATCTAGCTAGAGACACTGATCGATCTTAATTATTACGCTAAATATGTTATTTTCTCTAGTTGTTTCTCAGGTTTCAAATTAAACTTCATTGATTATAGTAAAATTTTTTAGAATATTACAAATATAAATTTAGGCTGTTTTTAGCTAATGCGAAGCCTTGAAATACAATGAATTCGTTTTATTCTACAAATCTTGTCCTCCTTGCATTGATTAAATTTAACAACAGATCAGGATATACGAAATAATATTTTATTTCCGAAGGAATTAACCAAGTGAAAATAATTAATCTGAAATATCGAAATTATCCAATAATCAGCGTTGTGTCTATCACCAAACAGTCAATTAGTTACAACGTAGAACCTGATATTTATGTGCATCGGTTCAAGTTGACATACACCGCTAGCACAGAGAGATGAAGTTGTTAAGCCAAATCTCAGAATACTAGAGGTAGTAATAATGTTAGTAGTAATAGAAAATATTAGGCATAAAAGATACGATTCAAGAGATGAATTAGTGAAATGAAAAAAGTTAAGCGGAATTCAGAATCTCAGAAAGAGGGTGAAGAAAAGAATGGATGCATGTGCATCATTCCAAACGATTTTGAGCCATGTCAAGTCTCTAACCATTGGTTACGTTGATCACGTGGACCCAGGTGGTCCATACCAACTAATATGGCTAAGTCCAATTTACAATAATTTCATGGACTGATGCTATGTCTTGGTTTGGCCGCCCCTAGCTTTATTCTAGCCTTTCTATGGTTGAAGCTATCACGAGTTCACTTAATCTGCGAACGAGAACAAAGACTCGATGACCAAAGACCAGTAAGCTAGCTATTTAATGCGTCCCAGCCCCGCTAACAAAAGGAAGAATTCCAAGCTTGGAATGGAGAAGTATATTCTGCAAACAGCCAGAAACGAGCGATAACAACACAATTCAAAACGTATATATACAATACAAAACCGTCCCTGGGGAGAGTTACCAAATAGCATACTAAAAGACGCAACGGACCAATAGCATTTAAGATATTTCCCAGTGGGAAATACGACATGAAGGTGACAAGAGCGCTTTTGGCGCGAAAACAAAATTCAAATTTTCTAAAATTACAAAACTAGGTCCTTTCCCAAGTGAGTTCTGGGGATCTAACGTCCCCAACAAGCCTACTCCTACAACAGAAAACCGCCCGTCAAGGTAGGCGGTGATTAGGCATTCATAACACATTTACCGACCTCAGTTGACGAGCATTTACTACCTCATCAATCGATTTACCATCCTTACCTAGTACCCTATTTCTAACCCAGGCATTGCTTGAATACCAGTAACCTACGAATATCCTCCATATCAAATGTACAATAGACCACTAGTACTTCCACAATATCATTACCAACTGAGAAAGGATAAAATTATCGGTGTCCTAAAACTTACCTTTTTATAAAGGACGAGAAAAATAATGAGTAAAATTACGTGTTAGCCCACTCCCCCCTTTCACTATACACTAAAATGTACTTAGAAGAGAGTTAAAGCATTTTTGTAGTAATTGATAAAAATGCTTTACTATTCTTTTATAGCAAATGAGGAGTAACGTAAAAATTAATTTCATTTTTCGTCACATCCCTCTATCAATCTATTTGATCTAACTAGATCAATAAAAATAGAACTAAGCACCAATCAGAGAAAGACAATAATAAATCTTGGCATGATAACAGCAACAAGAAAAAGGAAGAAAGAAAAGAGGAAGAAAAAAGTAGTGGAAACCAAATGAGGTTAGTAAAATAAACACAGACTTTAAACGGCGTAAACCGACCAAATTGATTGAAACAAATAATTAATATTTGAAAACTAACAAAAAAGAAGTATGTATTGAACTGTAATTTATTACATGAAGGGACTTATTTTCTACAACAAATGCAAATAATGTGAATAGTATGCACATACAGATATTACTGTAAAATAATTCTACACGTTGGTTGGTTATTTGATGCATATATACATATAGATGATGAGAAAAAAAAACATAGAAATAACCCCATTCTAAATGTTAATGGTACCCGGTGTATCACATGTTATAGAATTTGATAAAAAACAATTTACAAATTGTAGGAAGATTTTATTATCAACAGCTGATTTGTTGAATTCATGTTAAAGAGATAGAAATTTTAATCTAAATAAGTAAATAGTCAATTCACATGGAATTGTTTCGATTGTGAAAAGGTTAAAATACAACTCAATAATTGTGATATCTGCGTATTGATTAAACTAAATGTATGTGATAATATATCAAGCTGTTCATGGTGTACTAATCGGAATATATTAGGATAGTTTGTGCAAATATGATGTGTAAGTCATTAGTTGAATCACAAAATTACAGATATTTCCACAAAAAGACAGTAAAAAGTATAATAGACAAAATTGAAAAAAAGATAGAATTGGATACCTAGTAAAATAAATATGTAGAGACAGAAAATAATACTCTGGGCTAATCAGACATATTACATGCCAGTTCAAGGTCGAATGATAGGAGCTCGATATTGGTCGGTATTTCGCTCAGCTTTCGAGGGATACAGGTATACTCTATTGGTTGAAATTCAGTCGAATTATCTGAGGAACATATATCCATATTTAAAAATGAGATTGTGCACATATTTCCATTCAGTTAGCCAATGAAGCCTACTATTAGATTCAGTGTTTTTTTATTCTATCAGCAGGTTAAGTTCAAGTCAGAGTCAGACGACTGCGTAACATAATAAAGACCAAATGGATCATTTTAAATTTTCAACTATGAATTCTGGTTGCTTACATAGTATCACTATTTCGAGACATAATTCTGTCTCAAATACAAGTCAAACCAGTTTAGCATCTTAATTTCTAAACTTGAGCTCAATCGACTTACTACACTGAAATCCTTTGATCATATTTGTGATCTCTCAATGTTAAAATCAAGAATTTATCTTAACCAAACAACTATTGAGAGCCAAGTGGCAATGGATAGATATTTCGTCATGGTATGGAAACACTCCTCATGAGTGCGCATCCATCCATCCAACTCAGTGTTTACACCACTGAACCCGCATCCGGTAGTTTATTTTTAGAAGTTTTAAACATTGAAAAATGAACATTTGAAATCGTGGATAAATTCGCACTACAGAATAATAATTATCATATACATGTGATAACATACAAACTTAGCAATGTTACTGAGTTTTATAAATGAACACAAGAAAATTAGAAATAGGTGGTTAGTAGAAGTAAAATTCAGTAAACCAGGGAATAATACAGTAAAAAAACAAAAAGTATCTCACTAACTCGTTCACGTTTAGCTTGATCCAAATTGTGTATACCTAATAGAAGGGAGTAGTCCATAATTCTAAAAGACTTGAGTACCTTCAATTGGAAGAGAGAAAGAAGATACGATGATTCGTAACAGAAATGAACTCATTCAAAAATAAAAAGAACTCGTGATAAGGACATTTATATGAGTTCAGTTCTATAAAAAATTGTTATGAACTGATTCTTGAGATCGGTCAAGATTTACGGAGTGAAATATCAATCTGAGAAGAAACCTACAAAATGTGAATGACTAACTGATTTCATTTGTCCTAAAATTTTGTACTGCTATGATGAAATAGTGTGAATACAATTTTCTTATTGGAATTGTGAACCGATCAATGTTAGACCACCATTGAAAACCTGGAAGTATTGAACGGCCGTTTCGTCCTAGTATGGAACTCTTCAGCAACGCTTATCCATGATTCCGCACACGGGGTTCAAATACAGGACCTTCTGCCTCGTGTGCAAACGCTTAACCTCGACACAATTGAGCCGACATTCAACGGTTCAAAGCAAAGGAACCTTTAGTTGAAAATTGAATGATGTGATGATCATTAAACTAAACTCCGCCTGTAGCTCTTCCAGAGTTACTGCCGGTCCCAAGCTCGGGTAAAGGAGGAGGGTTGGGCATGGGGTTAGCGTCCCCATCCCGTAGAAAACTAACACATTAAAAAACGCTAACCAGAAAATAATAATTCAAATCATTTAAACTCTGCCCTGAGAGTTAGAAGGTCTTCATTTAGAAGAATTATGACGCCTCATGGTGCAAGCCGAGTTCCTTCGGAAGTCACGAGGCCGATGCCCCTTCTAACAACCAGAGTAAAAATTTTTATAGGTAGATGGAACGTCTGAACAATGTGGGAGACCGTTAAGACCAGTCAAATAGCAACGGAAATGAGACGATACAACTAGGCAGTACTGGGAATCAGAGAAACCCATTGGTCCAAAACTGGACAACAAAGGCTAAATACGGGATAGATGCAACTATACTCCGGTCATGAAGAGGAAAATGCTCCACATACTCAGGGAGTTTCTCTAATGCTGTCCAAAGTAGCACGAAATGCACTTGTAGGATGGGAATCTCACGGATCCAGAATCATCAAAGCATCATTCAAAACAAAGAAGGAGGGGATCACAATGAATATTATCCAATGTTATGCACCCACCAATGATAGCAACGACGACATTAAAGATCAGTTCTACGAGCGGCTGCAGTCAATCATTGAGAAATGCCCAAAGAAGGACCTCACCATTCTGATGGGAGATCTAAATGCCAAAGTCGGAATAGACAACACTGGATATGAAGATATCATGGGACGACATGGACTAGAAGAGAGAAACGAAAATGGAGAAAGATTTGCAAATCTGTGTGCATTCAACAAATTGGTCATAGGAGGCACAATATTTCCACACAAACGTATACACAAGGCTACATGGATCTCACCGGACCACACTACAGAGAACCAGATAGATCATATTTGCATCAACAAAAAATTCCGAAGGACAATGGAAGATGTGAGAACCAGGAGAGGTGCTGACGTAGCTTCAGATCACCACCTAGTTGTAGCCAATTTAAAACTGAAGCTAAAAAGAACTGGACAAGTGGACAAACAGCACTACAAAGGTTCAATACAGCCTTCCTTCGAGATACTGACAAACTCAATGAATTCAAGATAGCTCTCAACAACAGGTTCCAAGCCTTACAAGATCTACTGAAGAAGAAGAAACTACTATGGAGGACAACTGGAAAGGCATCAAGGAAGCATTAACTTCAACGTGTCAAGAGGTTCTGGGCCTAAAGAAACACCATCATAAGGAATGGATCTCTATAGAAACACTGGACAAGATCAAAGAAAGGAAGAACAAGAAGGCAGCAATTAACAACAGCCGAACACGAGCAGAGAAAGTCCAAGCACAAGCTGAATACATAGAAGCAAACAAACAAGTGAAGAGGAGCATTAGAGCCGACAAGAAGAAATACGTGGAAGAACTAGCAACGACGGCAGAAAAAGCTGCTAGAGAAGGAAATATGAAACAGCTTCACGATACAACGAAGAAACTAGCAGGGAAATACAGTAAACCAGAGAGGCCGGTCAAAGACAAAGAAGGCAAGCCAATCACCGAAATTCAACAACAGCGTAACAGATGGGTAGAATACTTCGAGGAACTCCTGAATAGGCCGGCTCCAATGAATCCACCGGACATCGAAGCAGCACACATAGATCTTCCTATAGATGTCAACCCACCAACGACGGAAGAAATTAGAATGGCCGTCAGACAAATCAAGAACGGGAAAGCAGCAGGACCCGACAACATACCAGCTGAAGCACTGAAATCAGACATCGAAGCAACCACAAGCATGCTATACCTTCTATTCAAAAAGATTTGGGAGGAGGAACAAGTGCCGATGGACTGGAAAGAAGGACACCTCGTCAAGATTCCAAAGAAAGGAGATCTGAGCAAATGTGAAAACTACAGAGGCATTACACTACTGTCAATACCAGGGAAAGTCTTCAACAGAGTGTTGCTGAACCGGATGAAGGATGCAGTAGACGCCCAACTTCGAGATCAACAAGCTGGATTCCGTAAGGATCGGTCGTGCACAGACCAAATTGCAACACTACGGATCATCGTCGAACAATCAGTTGAGTGGAACTCATCACTATACATCAACTTCATTGATTATGAAAAGGCATTCGACAGTGTAGATAGGAGGACATTATGGAAACTTCTTCGACACTACGGAGTTCCTGAGAAGATTGTCAATATTATCCGGAACTCATACGACGGACTACAGTGCAAAGTAGTGCATGGAGGACAGCTGACAGATGCATTCCAAGTAAGGACTGGAGTCAGACAAGGCTGTTTACTCTCTCCCTTCCTCTTTCTTCTGGTGGTCGACTGGATTATGAAGACCTCGACATCTGAAGGAAAACACGGAATACAATGGACAGCTCAGAATCAATTAGACGATTTGGACTTCGCAGATGACCTAGCCCTCCTATCACGTACACACGAACAGATGCAGATGAAGACAGCCAGTGTAGCAGCAGTCTCTGCATCAGTAGGCCTCAGCATACACAAAGGGAAAACCAAGGTCCTCAAATTCAAAGCGGAAAACAGCAATCCAATCACTCTTGATGGCGAAACTCTAGAAGATGTAGAATCCTTCACATACCTGGGAAGTATAATCGATGAACTGAAGTTAGTCTGTTATTAAAATCTTGAAGATCTTGTAAACACTGATCACGTCATTCTACCTAAATCATCTTTAAAATGAATTCAAACGAAGTGGTTCAAACCGTCCACAAATCAGAAGCTTATGTACAGTAGAGGTTTAGCAATCCACAGATTTCAGACCAATCTCTGTACAAAGGAGTAACACGTCCAGTTTTTTATGTTACTCTGATCTATCTTCCACATTCATTTATCTACTTTTATTATCCCTTCTTCATATTTTCAAAGTTATTAATTAGCTATTATTGAAACATTTATTTTTTACGTTCTTCATATTCATCTCTCTTCTTCAGAATATCTTAAAGAATTTCTTTTCAAACAAGTCACCAGATTGTTAAACAACTTCCTACTTATATGTGATAGTTTCAAAGAATTTATCAACACGTTCTTCATATTCTTCACGTTTATAATACTCTTCTATATGTAATCTGTTTGGTCCACTATGTAATTTATTTCGGTACTTGAAGACATTATCGACCACCTTTTATATAATACTCAGATGACATAGTCCTGTTTGGTGAAAACGCTGATAAAATGCAGTGTCTTTTGATAGCACTGAGCAACAATGCCAGAATGGTTGGGCTGCGCTTCTCCTCCTCTAAATGCAGATTGTTGCTTCAGGACTGGTCTGCGTCAACACCTGAACTAAAGGATAGGGTGTGAAGTAGTCGAACGCGTCGACAACTTCACTTAGCTCGGAAGTCTGATCAACCCTAATGGATTGGTGTCTGAAGAAATCTCTGCATGCATTCGAAAAGCTCGTTTGGCTTTTGCCAACTTTCGTCACCTATAGCGAAGGCAAGATACCCGTCTTTTAATCAAAGGATGAGTATACTGTGCAGCAGTTTGTTCTGTTTTACTTTACGGCTGCGAAACGTGGCCATCAAGAGTAGAAGATACTCATAAGCTACTAGTATTTGACCACAGATGTCTTAGAAATATTGCTCGCATCTTCTGCAATCATCTGCTAAGTAATAGTGACGTTAGACGTAATGCATTAGGGAATGAAGGTAAACCAGTCAATGAGGTTGTAAATCTACATCTATTAAGGTGGTTGAGCCACGTGTTATGTATGCCTGAACACCGATTACCACAACGTGCAATGCTAACCGGTGTTGAAGATGATTGTAAGAGAGTTAAGGGCGGCCAAACCAAAATGTGGCATCAGTGCTTGAAGTCACTAACTTTTAGCCTGAGCCATATTGGTAGATGCAGACTACTTGGTTGGGGTCCGTGTGACTATCGTAACCAATGGTTGGGGACTCTTGGTGACATGGCTCAGAATCGATCACAATGGCGTCGGTGTATACACTCTTTGTCGTCTCCTAAACCGTGAGATTAAAATCATTTCATATCTTTCTTTCTTTCTGTATTATATCCTTACATAAAATCTTTCCTTTATATTTTACACCATTGAGTTAACTGCTTCTATGAATCCGGTGTTCGTCTTGTTGTGTTAATGAGGTGTGGCAACTTGACCGATGCATGTTTGTGTCTGGTCCTACGTTGTAGCTGCCTGACACGTTAAAGGTCGACAATAACCAGTCAAAATCAAGGTTGACAGGACGAGCTGTCACTCATATTTGGAGGGATTCAAAAGCTTCACTTGTACCTCAGGTTTGCGCTGATGTTTTATAGAATTACAATAAAGGATTTATGATTAAATTATTCACGTCAGAGAATACAAAACAATACTAATTACATTTAGATGTCATGCATAACACCTGAAGATGCTTGGAATTAAGATTTCAATTCAGTACGATGCTTCAGATTATTATTATTATTATTATTATTATTATTATTATTATTATTATTATTATTAGTTATTAGGATGGCACTGATTGGGAGGATACAAATAAAAAATGATGAGGAATAATATGTAACCAGTACAACTAATACAGAATATGAAATCCAGAAAACTTCCTAGAAATTAATTTTTTTTTAATTTAGTGGAAAACATTTAATAACTTACGAGACAATCCCTTTCTATCGTTTTGAGCAAAGCATCATAGGTTTCTGCCTCTAACCAGATTCCATCTGGATGATTCTCACTAATAAAGAATTAATTTGAAGAAAATTCAAAGACATTCATTTTTACAGGTATGGACAAACGAAGAATATAAGAATATAACACTGGTTATTCTGTAGTAAAATAACTCAGACCCCAACACGTACCTTAATACAATTTGAAAAAAGGATTTAAACAACTTACATCGATGGTATCTAAAATCAATTAACATTTATAAACTACAAAACTAAACTGAAGTACACGATGTACAGGATGAAGAGTGAAAGAAATGACGAAATAAGAATGGTTTCGTGGAAAAACGTCCATTTTGTACTAGAGAATAGTGACACAACGATGGATTTTGACTATTTAAATACATATTTCGAAATGTATATATGTATATAAATATGTTATTACAGTTGGTTCAATAAATAGTAAACTGATGTGATGATGCAGTAGTTTGGTTGCATCATTCATATAGAAATTAGAATAAACTTATATGCCTCTTACCAAACCGTTGCTATTATGTTAAGCTTATATCTTCCCACTAAGCGTTTATCATAACCCACGTTGGCTAACATGGATGACATGCTATTCCTAATAACTTACCTCTGATTGAATGAGGTTTGTTTTAAGTAATGCAGCAACGGGTTCAATAAATGAGTGAAATTACAAATAACTATTGAAGTGCTTACGACATTTGATATTAGTCAGTTATAGATTCTGACACAAATGTGCGCTGGACAAAGTTGCCAGATATATTTAGAGAAATCAAATGAAATTAACAAGATGAATAGTAAAAAAGTTGGAATAACATTACAGCGATGAAAATGTGAAAGACTAAACATTAAGAATACGGTAAGAAAAGACATAATGAGAACGCATAAATAATAGAAGAGTGAGACTGAAGATCTAGAAGAAAAGGAGTAAATGCAACTGAGCCGTTGTGAATGATTCTGAGCCATGCCATCCAACGTATCCAACCACCAATCGCGGTTACCACACGAACCCCGAACTGATAGTCTGCTTCTACCAACAGTCAGTGACTTCAGACTGCTTTCAAGTCTTGATTCAACCGCCTCCAGCTTTATTTCAACTTCTATGACAGTAGAACATCGCTCATCGAGGTACGTAGTGTTTAATCAAGTGTAATACACTTTTGATAATAATATGGAGAAAAGAAGTTGTTTAACAACTAGCATTTCAAGATGCATACATTATTACTACTAAATATAAATACAGTGTCTATGTTATCGTGTATAAGGTATTTACCATCAAAACAGAAACTTTATGTTTACATTTTAACAATAAGTATCTGTGCAAACGTGCATTATTATTATTATTATTATTATTATTATTAATAGTAATAATAATAATAGTATTACTATAAATGTGTATTACTGAATCAACGAAAACTATTTCCAACCAAAATCAGCCAAAAATAGTTTTTAGATTAGTCCTATGCTATTTTGTTTTAAGCGTGAACAGACGCATGTAAAAGGAATTATTCAGTATTTCAAATTTTGTTATGATCCAAAATTGATGGTAAGAAAATCTACTCCGAAAGTGGACATAAAAATTTATCTTGTTCAACATTCAAGTTAATCAATTTATGCTCAACTCATTTAATCAAACCACAGTAACCAAAAGCGACTCAATCAGTCTGTGTTGATAGCGAAGTGGTAGCCGAATGATTAAAAACACTTGGCTTTCAAACGAAATAGGTCATAGATCCTAACATTGCCCCATTTACGTTCGTTTTTGTAACCCCGTAGAATAACGAGCCCTCACAGAGGAAGAAAACATGTAACTCAAAACGAGGTAAATAAACCCATAGTTCAGTAATGAGTTACTTGAGCGATAGTTATTAAAGTAGGCGAATTTCAGTTAAAATTGGAACCATTTAGCAACAACAGATTGTTAGAGAAGAGGTAAGTACAGCTACTATAATGACTACCGTTAAGGTCGCTCTTTGGTTTTTAATGGTTGTCTGGCTACAGTCGATCAGCAATATAAACTATAAAATTCAATAATTTTCACAAAACCCCAATTCCACAACTAAGAGAAAAATGCGACAGTTAGTCCAAATATTGCTTCTTGACAGGAAACGACCACGATATAATACCAACGCGAGGAGACGTTTGTTATGATTATTTTAAACCAAACAACTATTATACGAAGACACCTTAAATATAGAGGATCTCAAAGAGAAATGAAAAAGGTTTCTGAAAAGCCTTTGGAGAATTTCCAATGCTTTGATAAAAAGGACTACCTCACAGAAAAGAAAATACAATTAACGCAACCTCTAAATGGTGATAGTATAAAATAAATTAATAAATGTGATAATGAAGGCTAAGAAACCGATGGTAGAAGAGGTTAAAAACAAATGGTATGTTTTTTTTCCTAACCAAACAGCGATTTGGAGCGTAAAGTAATAATAATAATAATAATAATAATAATAATATGGGTATTAATACCAATCTTGAACTTGACAGTTTCACATAAAATGAACATTGGGTACATATACATGATTTCTTAGAGTGACCCAAACCATACCCCGTTTTAGATGTCAATCAGTGACTAATTGATTGATAATTAAACATCTCTTATTAGCTCAGCGGGGATATATACTATTGGCCAAACTTAATGTACCAAAACTTTGAAAAGCCAGAATGAGAACAACAATATATTAGTGAGTAATTAAGACAAACGTTGTTACCAGCAATGTTACGTAGCTTTGTCAAAGGAGAAAACCTGATGAGTAGTGAACTAGTGACTGATAACTTCTAGCTTTGACATGGATACCACGATTCCCCTTTCTTGTTTGGCTTCAGTTACTCAGATTTCGTAAGTGAGATTTACTGATAGAAACTAACCATTGAGTTTATCAAACAATATGCGCGAATAAAAATCTATCGAAAGATGTTGAAAGTAAGCCATATATTTAGCGTACTAAAGATGCCACTAACCAATAGAGAACTAGCGTTTCTAAATGCCAGTAAAAATGAAGTATAGATCCCACTAAAAGTTTCGGAGTGAAGATCGGAAATTCAAACTTACAAAGAGAGAAATTAGAAAATAACGAGTACATAAATAAGGTTTATGAAGTTAACACCCACTACCCTCCCGTGAAATTTGCTACTTGAATAGCATGCTAAAATTCCCTTGCTTCCCCCTGGAGCCTATCTACGGTTACTGCCTATCTTAAGCCCAGATGGAGAAGGAGGGTTGGGCATGGGGTTAGTAGTCCCATCCGTAGGAAAGAACCTTGCTAATAAAAACATAAATCAAAAAAGTTATTTAAACTATCTACAGTTCCATGTCATATGGCAGCAAACGTAATTATGAACTAGAGGTGGTTTAAATGAACCAACCAACATGAGATAAAAACTTTTACATTAATTCAATCAAAAAATGTAGTAGAATAATACAAAAACTACTTACATAAAATCGAGATCCTTTAGAGTTGGTGAACTTTTAGCGCGTTCAGCATCACTGGCCTGGCGACCATAAGTAGATCCTTTTAAATCATATTTTTCATGAATACGTACGGAAGAAGGTAGTAGGTTATTCATGACAACAAATCGAATATTTTTATGTCCAGACTATGTATATTTGATTAAAATGATGAATGAAAATAAGTGAAAAATAATGTGAATATTATTATCCCAAGTTAGTATGTAATTGATTTAAATAATTTGGAGACATATATAATACCGGAAAACATACAACAGTTCATCTAGTGGTCACATACAGTTTTTGTACAGAAATAAGAGCTACACAAATGTATAATACCATGAATACGGTAGATAACTGTTCTCACAGTCAATAATAAATCACACGGGACTCGATAGAAATACATAATAAACTAAGTTAATATAGTGAGAAGAAATGAATACAAGATCAAAAGTCAAAATATTAGTAGCAACAATCATAGTTGACACACAAACATAAGAAATATAATTATAAAGGAACGAACAAAACTGAGAAATAGAAAATAAAAATGATACTGAAACCTTAGATTTACAAAAAAAACAGTAAACGATCAATATATCTGTGACACTGCAACTAATTTCGCATTCAAACATTCGAACAATAAAAGTCACATATCCTAGCCCATCTAGTCGACGAAAGTTCACAAACAATTCGCCATCTTTACCTAATATATCACTTCGAAACTTCTTGCTTCATAATTGCACTATACGCCCAAATATTTTTGGTCGAATAGAAAGCAAACTTTGCATACTTTTATCTTCATAGGGGAATTTCCACAGCTATTAAGTTAGACAGGGAACTGCTGAGTACAATCCACACCCCTATAACAGACAGACTTCTGTTCTACCCATAATATACAAATAAAGGATTGAAGCCTAAGGATAAGGCGCTTAAACCAGTGAGTGGCGGTTCTAAACTGTTTCAAGACTATACATATCGATCTCTCGCTCGTGAGAAGTATAGAAAAAGTTCCCCTTTTATCTTGTTAAATATAAACATAGATCACGACTATTCAAAATTATGAACAATTGAAAGACGTTTCCTAGAACATACAAAATCTATGGGTCCTAACAAGCTCGACAACTAATCTCCGTAACGCCGCAACAATAACAATCCCCACACGTGACCGAAGACAGAATAGAGTAACTAAAGGGAATACTTGATATTCAAAGTGAAAACTATGATACAGCATCTATTTTTATATACTAATACTTGTGACCTTGGGGCACGACAAAAATAACAGATTAAAAGTGAAAATAACCAATAGATAATAGCAAGGTCGTGGGGGAAATTTAAAACTGCAAAAGTTACTGATAACATTTTTGTTTGCCATAACTACAACCTATTAACAAAAGTAAAAAGTGGATACAAATTTGAAGTTTTCCCACTAATAAGCAAATCATGAATACGATTCATAACGTAATTAACGAATTAAAAACACAAAAACAGAATCATTAAATTGTAGTTAGGTGGTGAAGGAACTCGATATTCAACTAATAGATAAGATTTTCACAGTTTACATTACAGACTGACCTTTGCTATTCAGGAAACACTGGACAACTGTTTTATCGTAGTATGGGACTCCTCATAAATCAGCATGCATGATCCCATCAGAGATCAAACTTAGGTCTATCAGGTTATGTGGCACGTGCTTAACCTTTAGACCACTGAGTCAGCGTCTAACTGGTTTGCATTTCTTACCTCAATCAATTCGCAATATTGTACAGTTATCATGTAATGTTTTATCAGCGGGCAACCAACCGACCCCATTAAGCATAGATAAACTCCACTGGCCGTAATTTCTTACTACAATCCTAGGAATTAACCCACAAAATAAGTCACTAGATAGCACATGATTATTATTGATACAAGGGAGTTGTAAAGATTTCAAGCACGCTACATCTACTTTAGTTGAGACAACTAGTATCACACTGGTCTCTAGTGTAGTCAAAATTCAGGTAAATAGGCTCATGTTTAATGTAAATATGTTACATTAATTAATTATAAATACATCTTCAGACTTCAAAATACATTCGAATAGAATAATAACAATGATCTTGTTAAATGAAACAGGTTTTATGGTTTAGCAAAGAAAATAGAAACAAAAATGATAAATGCCAATCAGAACCGAAACACTCTGTAAATTAGATATGATGATAAACAATCTCAATACGTACAATAAAAGGCAAAAAATGGGATTGTTTGGTACGTTTTACAGTATATGCATATATGGACAAAACAACCAATTAATACACAAATTTAATATACTTTACCTGATAGCAATAAAGACCGTAATATTTCGGTAATAAAGTACGAGGATGTTGCATTAAATTCATAAAATATTCTGGTAATAATTTTTGTAAAAATTCACCTTCTTTATGTTGTACAGTTTTAATGATGAATTCATCATCTTGACTAATATAAAAAATGGAACCACTTGCACCGGGGTTTGAAAGCTCTTGAAGTGATTGGCTACATAAAGAGTTCTATGTAACAGAAATAATAATGGAAGAAAACAAAAACATTTCAATGCAAAAAAGCAACGGTAATTATGATCTAAGTTGATGTCTAGTTCTATGACAAGAACTGAAGTAACTAAACATTTTGAGTTTTTCTGGGTCTTATCAATTTCTAGTGAGTTCGTGGCTAAAAATAATTATGGTATGAATACAAAGAAGCTATTGACGCTAGAAGTCAACCTATCGCTGTCTACTCATCAACGTGACAGAAGGCTTCAAAAACAGGTCACTTGGTTTCGCTTAACGATTGTGAAACACTACATTCGTAGATAAATGACGCATGTTTAATGGTAGTATCTGATTTAAGATAGAGAAACCCTGGAAAATGTGGAAACCTTCACGTACCTAGGAAGCATCAACGATGAGCGAAGAAGACCGGATGCAGACGTAAAGTTAAGGATTAGAAAAGTAAGGGCAGTTTTCCTACAGTTGAAGAACATATGGAACTCAAAACAACTATCTGTAAGTCAACATCAAATCCAGAATATTTAATACAAATGTCAAAACAGTTCTACTGTACTGTTATAATTTATCTAATTACAATCCAGCTGTTCCTATTGCTTATCATTCTTGGACACCAATTCCCTAGACAGGCCCTCAAATCAGAACACGGTTGGACAGGAATAAAATTATATTCCAAATAACAAGAGTAAATGGAAGTAGGAATTACAATAAGAAAGACGTTAATATAGTAATCGTTTTTACACGAGAAGACTCTAGTCTTCAAGTATCCACTAGCGCTGATTGGTTAAATACAGCCAATCAGCGTGCACCAACACAATCCCGCACGGAACGTGCTTTAATCCAATCTATGTCCCACTAACATGTACGGAGCCTAAACTTGGAGAACTACTGCAACCATTATCAAAAAGATACGGGTATTTGTAAACAGTTGTCTACGCAAGATACTCGATATCCGTTGGTCCGATACCATCACCAACAGACTACGGTGGGAGAGAACAGACTAGCTTCCAGCTGAAGAGAAAATTAGGAAAAGACGTTGGAGGTACATAGTACATACATCGGGGAAATCACCAAACTGCACCGAGAAGCAAGCGCTAACTTGGAATCCCGAAGGAAATAGGAAAAGAGGGAGATCAAAGAACACACTGAGCCGGGATTCAGAAGCACACCTGAAAAGGATGAATAGCAAGTGGGAACAATTGGGAAGGTTTGTTCAGGACAAAGTTGAATGGAGAATCCTGGTGGGCAGCCTATGCTCTTCGACGATCGGTAACAGGCGTACGTAAGTAGGTCTGATTCAAGATGTCTACAAACCACTGGTCGTGTATAATAGAGCTATTAAGTTAGCAATATTAATAAAGCGAATCGAGTACAAGCCCAAGTGTTGCAGATCCGTTGATGAAATTCTGAGCCTCAGAGAAGAATTGAGTTTGAACGTATATGGGTGACTCCCCAACTGATAGATACTTGAAAGAAGTGGGATATTGGATTGGAACAATGAATAAAGCAATTGGTTATTAGGAGTTAATGAACTCAAATTCCTCATTCTCTCTCTCTAATCAAGTTGTGAATTTGAAACTATTCTGCATTAATCAAAAGTTCGAGCTCAAACACAGTGGACACAAACTGTAAACTTCATGCACATACCTCTATTGATCAACAGTTTGCATTCATATATGATACTTTACTAAATGTAAAAAATAACATTATGACACTACAAAAAAATATGCTGATTATGAATTTCAAACTGATGACTAATATTTAGTGTAACTTGGCAAAAGAAAAAATTAATTAGCCGTAGTGATAACGAATTTAACCTCAACTTAGTGTACGTAATTTTTTTCAACAAATTGTGCACCAACTATTATGCACACACACACACACGGATATGAACGCACATAAAGAGTTACACAGTCAATACTCAATTATAAATTATGAAAGTACATATTTTAAAAAAACACTAGTTGTGTACTTTTGATTAGAGATATTTGAAATGATGAATATAAAAGGAAATGTCCAAAAAAGAAAGAAATTAAAACAATATGAATAAAAGAATGCACACAAGTACATTTTCACTCTGAAAACACTTTATGTATAACCCAATTGTTTTTACATTGACTATGAGTACTGTTTGTACATGTGGAAGCTAAATACATTTAATCAGCCAGTTTGATTATTGAATGAAGGACTAGGTACAGATGTGCATTCAGGCCCATGTTACCATAACAACAACATAGTATGAGATCAATAAAATGAAAAGTATCAATGGTAGTGAAAACTACGCAAAGATGAAAGTAAGATTGTATAACAACTAGCAAAAGAGAATTGGATGAAATTATTATATTCATAAATTTTCTAGTGTTTATGATGAAATAACAGAATGAGAAGCATTATCTCTTGATAGTAAACATTGGTTAATAAGAGCAACGCGGAAAATCCTATCAGAAACTTATGCGGACGAAAATAATCAGTAGAATTTCGTCAATTTGCCCACTTCATCTATGTCCAAATGATAACACCATTTATCTGTCAAACCCCACGATATCATTTCACTTATATCAATAAATCATGTAGACAACTGTGGATATACATTCGATTGGGCAACATTCTAGTCTTGGACAGACAATACCAAATCAGAGAATTTCTAAAAACATTGGCACTAAAGTCAGTCACCAATCAATAAACAAATCGAAAGAGACCTAACCAATTAGAAGATTCATAAATACGAACACGGTTAGAAAGAAAGCCATTCAAAATAAGTGTGCAGATAACGACATAACAAGTGACAGCAACAAGCAAACTCAAGGTCGAAAGAACAAGCTGCAAGCCACCCGTTGATGTTACGCAAGAACATTTAGCCTAAAAGACAGGTCCTAACAGATTGAAGAATGAATGACTTACAGGCTAATTCCCCCCAACCGCATATGGCATTTTATCACGTTTATTTTGTGTTTACATTCTGCATACAAACATATTATTTTGTTTCATAAAAACTATCCATCTGGCTAGTGCTCTTGTCTTTGATTTCTACTTCGAGAGTTCGTATCAATAACATTTTATTGAAGAGCCATCATTTGGCCACATCATATCATTACGCTTGTCTATCAATTAGCATCCTACTTATCGATTTCGACAATCGAGATGTTGCTAATTCATAATGAAAAATCCCCTCCATAACAAGTGAGGCGAAATTTTCACAGATCACTTCCATCTGTAGATTTGCTGACAATTGTAAAGTAAACCATATTAAAAGTGGAGTGATAGCTTAATGATTGAAGCGTATGAATTTGAATGATTGGGTAACAGGTTTCTTCAACCCGTTTCTGCTTACTTCAGGTTGAACAATCCGGGTAGTATTAAATGTGACACGAAATCGAGTGCATAGACAGGTAATTAGTAAATAAATTATATTCACAAATAGTATAATGTTATGTGAAATTTGGATATATTCATGCTCATTAAGATAAACATGAATCACGTATAAGAACTATTCCATTATTAAACACGCCTTCTATATTCTAATACAAACCACAATCCACCTATTCTGGATGCATACCATAATAATTAGAGATAATTTGGTTTACAAGCAATTAACAGCACTTTAAAAGAGGAAACATTAGACTTACTAAGAAATCACGAATATCCAATTTATATGACTTTCGGAAACATCGAAAAGCCACAGGAGCATAAATTCTAAATCGGAAATCTGAATATGGATGGGCTTGTGTTGTTTTCGTGCCTTCACGAGGAAAATTAACCGTATCGATAATATTAAAATCTCCGTATAAAAGATCACGATCAGGCTTTGCTGTAATGAACCAATATGATGTTGTATGCCAAGTTGAATAGCTCCTTGAAGTTCTGATGTAGGTTTCTATAGTACAGTATCATATTACAAATATTATCAGGTAATTTTCACAATTTCTAACATTTTAGTGTCAGTAACAAAATAACATGTAATTTAGTTAGTACAGCAGAACGAGGTAAAAGTATCCAATTAGGCAACTGATTGTATGCAACATGCATATGATTATTGCATCTTATATATATATATATATATATATATATATATATATATATATATATATATACACGGGAAAAACAGCACAGCATAATTCATTTGCATGGGTAATACACGTTGTTGTTGTCATAGCATCATGTTATGATGTTTTATTGTGAAATTTTGTTGTACTAGATTTAGTTTACTTACAAATTTCTTGTAAAACTACTAATCTTGATAAATAGCATATCTTAACAACAAGAGCAGAGAGAACGAACAATAATTAAATTGTTTGTTTTGTGGAGAAGCCTATCAGCGAGTGAAGAGTTCAAGTTACAATCACTAAGTAGTGGCAGGTTTGAATTCCGCTTTACCTACTTTGGTTCGGACAACCAAGTAGTCTAATCACTAGCACACGTAAATTGTAGCTTGAAATCAAGTACACGAGTGTGCACTAGGTGAATGAGTTAATAATAATCAGGGTGGATGATCTAAATCAAAGTAGTAGACTTAATTAGATTATACTTTACTGGTTTTGGTTAGGAAACAAATACTTTATAAACCGGGATGAATGGTGGCTAGCAGTGGAATCCACGACGCACGTTTCGTCATGCACCTGCATCCCGGAGTTGATTTCCACTCCGACACTCTAGCTCAGTTCCGTTCGTTTCACAGGACGTCAAGTTATCCACATAGCTACTGTGACCAAACAGATACTGGCTTGTGCCATAAGGTGGAATTTAATTCATTTTTATTGATTGTTTGAACCTTCCCATTGATGTTTGGGACTGCAATTGACCAGTCTCTTTTTGGCAAATGTGGATCCTGTACAGATTGTCTCGATATTTCAATGCTAATCAACATTTATCTCTGCTTATAATGCTTGTGACTTACAGAAATATCGAAGAAATACGCATGGGATGCGCGTATGTCAAGAAGAGACTGATCAATTGCAGTCTTAAGCATAAATGGAAGATTCAAATAATCAATACAAACGAATTAAACATAGACTTTGTGATGACTTTGCCGTAGTCCCTCAATTTATATTTCGATAGTCTTTGGCATCAGCCGATATTTAAATTAGAGAGGACATATGACCAACTCGCAAAAAAAGTTAATCTTTTTCTAATCGATACTTATTAGTGACATCTCATGATAAAAATAAAAACGCTCTATGATTTCATTGTGTAACATGAAATTGTTCAAATTTCAATGCAAAAAATTCAAAAGTCATCATTAAGGATTAAACCAAGTATAAAAACACAACAACTGAGGATATCATCGAAATTATAAACACCAATTTTCAACCGTGTCTCCTTTTTTCACATGTTTTCGGAATGATTAGAATTTATTTACTTGTTTAAACATAAATATTGGTATAAAGAAGCACCAAAAGACATATGCTCCGCACAAAAGGAAAATGTGATTGTAAGGAGATAAAGAAACGTATAGTGAAAAAAAAGAAATGAAAATAAGTGAGTGAGAGTCAAACAAAGTAGTGGCAGTAGTTTAGAAAAACACAACCAGTAAAGCTTCTTTGAGTTAATCAGGTTCTCACTTATATGAAGTAAAAGAAAGTTACAGCACGACTACCACTGGCTTCTATTCTGAATCATGTCTGATAGCGTTACAACCCACTGTCGTACTATCTCCAGGACCCCAACCAGGGAGTTGTGGATGACAGACAGATGCCAATACTCTACAGCTTCCTTTCATACCATAGCATTGTCATAAACTAATCATCTCCCAGCTTTTTCGAACTAATCCCAGTGTCAACAAATAATGCACGATTTGGAATTTGCAGGACGACATTCGTCGTACATATCCAAGCCACCGAAGTCAGTGTTTTAAGATGGTGACACCAAGTGAATTATCATCGCTGTGCTTGTGCACATGTTCCCGAACACCCGTACCACTAACCTGGTGTTACCACTGAATGTCAACAATCCTTCGTATACAATGATAATCAAACAGGGAATCGCCAAACATCCTGAATTCAGAGAGATTAGATTTTACAAGCACAGAACAAAACTGCTCTCATCTATGCGCTTGTTACGTTGCAGCAGAAGTAAAATTAACAAGCCTTACATGGATCCGATCAGTAAATCATACTAATCCATATATTCACGATGCAAAACTTTAAATTCCAAAAGCAATAACAGATTTTTTGACTAGGAAAATCAAGACAGCCAAAATAAACCATCAGAATACAGATCTCAGTAATGAAGGCATAACGATACTCCCTATTTCCCGAAAAAGTAATACATAAATCCAGGTCTACCTGTCCACTGTTTTCTCTTTACTCCAACCACTATGCCATGATCCTGACAACGACCTGCTTATTCGGTCCAGTTGGCGATAACAAAATACAAACCATTTAAAATAAAACTCTCATTTTTAGACTTCTAAAAGATCAAACCACTATACCAAAAAACAATGATAATGAGGACAGAGAATAGTCAAATAATTCTCAAATGATGAATTTAAGGAACTAGTGGTAGTAAGTTTTGTGTAACTTACCTTCTTGTACGTGACAGTTCCTTCTTCTGTAACACGTCTGTGTCCAATTTTTTTCTCCTTGCGAGACTCAGCATCACGTGCCTGGTTACGGGAGGTACTAGGGAGAGCAAGTTTGGTTGGGGAGGTATGACTGGGAGGCCCCGGTCCAGAAACATGGACTGATGTTAGGATTAATCAGAAAATAGGAATACAAATAATATATTGAATGATGTATATCTCCAAGTGTTATAACATAATAATGAAAAAGTTTGATAGAAGATACTCTCGAATGTAAATGAATCTAATGGATTGGACGACAATTAAATGAATGTCTGGGTGACAAACACAAGCAAAGAGTAGACTGTACTAGTAGTACTAAAGAAAAAAGTATAATTAAAGTTTATAAAAAACCTACATACATTTCGTGGCATATATAAAAGGTCCTTCAGTGAATGTATAAAAGATAAAATAATGTGCGATAAAATATTTTTCCTAATTGTTGTAACACATGACTAGGTTAAAAACAGGTAAGAAAATAAAGCAACTTAGTAGCAATGGACAGCTTGTAGTATAGGTCATAAATAAATATTAGTAACTGACTCAATATTGGGATGCAACGTAAGTATTATTTACAATCTGTTGGATATTTCGGATTTATTTTCAGTGATCAATCTGAAGTATCAACGTGTAGTCCACGAGAAAAAGTTACAAATAATTCGCTTATTTGAACTTATAATTACTGATCTGAACATTGCTGAAACTAGATGTTTGACTTAAGCATTTTTCTCATGTCATTGTTGGTTATATTTAAATTAGGTTGTACGTTTAAAGTGCGTGTAACAACTGCTCTGGGAGCATGTAATCGATGCAGTATATGTTGCATAAGTACGAAGTATGTGCAATAATTAGACTTTAAGGGCTACGACTGTTGGTTACGATAAACAACTTAAACGCATATGAAAAAGTAAACGCAATGATCATGAGTCATGCATAGTAAAAGCGAAAGAGATGGATAAGGCAAGTGGTATTGGTAACATTAAGTAACCTTCCGTCGGTAAAAAAGCAGGTAGTAAATAGTCAGCCAATAGTAACGGAATTTCTAAAGTTTCTGAGTTCCCCATAAATTGCTTTATTATTTCACTGATTGATTTTTTCTCAAATTGTATCTTCGGTTCTTAATCTTTCCTATTACCACTGGTGCTTTTAATACCTCTGATATTCTAAGATTTGCCCTGAAAATTTCATCTTTGCTAGTGAAGTATGGCAACTTGAACCGATGTACACATGTGCCAGCTTCCACGTTGCGTACGACTGACTTCGGAAAAAGATGGAGTGGAGGTCTAATTTTAGTCTACATTTGAAAGAGATACAGAACTTTTGGAAAATGTCAGGACCGTCGAACGTTCTCAGTTTCATTTTATTTCGTCACAGATATCTCGTTGTAAACCCCACTCGGCTTATTTAACTTTTCAGGGACTGATCCCTTTCCTGGAATCTCGCGCACTGCTCTGAAGTACGTAGACGACAGTTTAGTTCAGTGAATAAGATGACAAGATCCAATCTCCCAAACGCTTTGTTTAATAATGGAAGCAAGTTTATGATACGTTTCTGCCCCCCAATATATAAAAGCCTGGCTGAGACTGCATATCGGGAACGTAGTCAAAAGCTCTGATCACGTTGACGATCTCGGGGGTTTCCTCCGCCCTGATGGGTTGGTAGATGACGAGGTCTCCCCACACACTCATAAAGCTCTTACAGTTCCCAACTTACTTCACTTTTGATGAATATAACATATCTGTTTTCCGGCAAACAGGTGAGTTCACTGAATTACTCTGTACTGTTATCCTATAGTTATAAAACGAGCTATGGCAGTGGACATGAAAAGATTGCAAGCATTTGATCACAGATGTCCCCGAAACATTGCTTGAGTGGTGATACCACTGAGCAATGCAGAAATTAAACGTAGGAAGTCAGCCAAAGATAAGATACCGGTAGATAAGGTTACGGGTCATTAACAACTGAGATGGCTGATCATGTGTTAAATAGGTCCTAACAATTACCATACACGATGAACTACGTTGACTGGAGTAAGAACAAGATGAAAGGATACTAAAAACAGCCAGACCAGAACATGGAATCAACTCGACGTCCTTGACTGTTGTATTGGTAGATGCAAAGAAACTAGTTTGAGTCAATGAGACTGTACCAATCTATGTATGCGTGACCAACCCACTGAAGAGACAAGCACTAATAGATCTATCGACTTTGACATACCGCGGTACTGTTTAGATTTGGCTAAATCATATAGGAAGTCATTTATAAGAAAGTCAGTCAGTCAGTCAGTCAGCTACAACGTAGGACCAGGCACATATGTGCATCGGTCCAGGTTGCCATACCTCATTAGCACAGCAAGATGAACAGCGGATTCATAGGAGTGGTTAGGTCAAAGGTTGCAATAAGGATATAATATAGGAAGAAAGAATTAGTTCGTAGACAGAAAGAATGAAGTGATTTTAGTCTCTTAGTTTAAGGGAAGACAGGGAGTGTATACACCGACGCCATTGTGATCGATTCTGAGCCATGTCACCAAGAGTCTCCAACCATTGGTTACGAAAGTCACGCGGACCCCAACCAAGTAGTCTGCATCTACCAACATGGCTCAGACTAGAAGTTAGTGACTTCAGGCACTGATGCCACGTTTTGGTTTGGCCGCCCCTAACTTTCTTCCAACCATCTCCAATACCGGATAGCATTGCACGTCGTGGTAATCGGTATTCAGGCATACGTAACACGTGGCCCAACCATCTCAGTCGATGACGATTTACAACCTCATCAACTGATTTACCATCATTCCCTAATACCCTGCGTCTAACCTCACTATTACTTACCCGGTGATCTTCTATTGTCCTTTTCTTATTTATAAGAAAAGGACAATAGAAGTTACCGAACATGTTACCCGATGCTGGAGAGTAGATACAATGGGCCGCCTACCAAGATATCCTAGGGACATCATTTTGACCTATCTACAAAGTTATATTTTAGACTTGTTAGGGTTGAAATATACCGACAAAACGGGGTTTTGAAGGCCATGAGAATTGAAGTGTTTGGTGCAGTTAACCACTCAAATCCCAAAGGATGCTCCAAGACTAATTGATGTCGTTGTCTAGTCCTACAAATCAGAATGCAGCAACTAAGCGCATTGACTATTGTAATTATCTTGGATATATCATCAATGCTGAAACGAAAGTGGATGATGAAATCTATCTACGAAAGGGCTTTCGAGCTTCGTTTATCACGAATAGGGGATCGTTTGACCCTTGGACGAAATCCCACACACTTTTAGGGTGTTCTCACCACTAGCTGACATTTTTGGGAGGTCGAGTATGCTGACCAAACTGTTTCTGTTCAGTCTCATACCAATTAAACAATCATCGGGAGAAAGAGACAACATAAGTTGTGGACACTTGATGTCATATGTCCTGTACTGCCGAAGCGCCAGATGAAGAACTCTGAAGTTGAAAATCCTACGCCATGAGAGTTGTCAATATATTAGGAGTAAGAGAGAAGTATTATTTAAATAGTTAAGCTTGCTATTTTATGATACGAAATCACAAGTGTGAATACCAGACTCCTGGTTTCTCTTACGTAGAAAAAAGTGGATTTTTTGGGTTTCGGTACAAAACAAGGGCTACAAACATTTGGATCGACTAGGAAAATAAAACCCCTCACCTCCCGCCATAATTTCCCAGTCGCAAAAGGCGCCTTGTGACTGCGCAACACCTGAAGTACAATGAAATCTGTTTATCACAATACATCAATCATTGGATATACAGTCCACCTAGCTTTTGTCATATGACTTGAAGGAGTATCACCCTGCTACACGTACAGCCCTTTTCATATATCTGATTATCTCGTCACGATAAAAATCCCTGTCAATTGCTTCTAATTTCTGGTTTTGAATAATATTGGTTTGACAAAAGGTGCGCTTCTCGTCCATGAACATCGGAGAGTCTGGATTAGCGTAAGTACTATAACATATACAGCAGATCACCTCCACACACTGCAGTTTTATCATTTCTAAACATCGTTCCACGTTTTTCTACTGTGGTAGGTGTCATGGGGGCGCGTTTAAGCGGGAACTGCAGTCAAAGAAAATAAATGTCTGTTGGACGCTTTAAATGCGATGAAAAATTTTTGCTAACATCTCGGATACTGAAGCTTAGGTGTGCTTCCTCACGAATTTTAAAGCTTGTCGGAAAGAGTCTATGTTTAATAACGGTATTTCTATTAACTTATGATTCCGTTGTATTTTGGTGGAGTTTTGTTCTCTGAGCTGGATGGTTTGGTCGTGGAGCTTTCAGCGTTGTATATTATTCTGCGCTTTACTCGAATTATGAATACAATACGTATGTTTTTACCTAAGGTGTTCTCACTGACATGAGTACTCGTTTGGTAGAGCTCGAATCAAATAGTTAGCATATTGAATTTGATTATTTGTGCTTATCTTAATGCTCCATGGGATGCAGATGGAAAGGTGATCATCATTATGATTAGGCGTGTGTTTTTCAGAGTTTCAGTTTGGGCAAGAAAATTAACTTAACCATTGTAGACATCTCAATCGGCGTCACTGAGACAGATCTGCTGAGATATTACAGCCCCGGAGTCGACCGAAGCAAACTGAGCCAAGAAGATACATCTGTTTACAAAACACTATTCTCCAGTTCCAGATTACGTTCATTCGGAGTCAGTCATGTGGTTAACTTGTACTTCTAACCGGTTCTTCGCAAATATCCCGAACGCTACATGCTGTAATCGGAAGTACTGTTTGTTATTAGCTGTGTGTTATGTTTGTTATCTTTATATTCGATGATCGAGAACAAACTACTCAACTAAAAACTAGAATACGAATGTTCTTCTTGGTCATAAACAATTAAGTTGTAAGTGGATTGAATGGACACAGCTGGACTGGAATGATAGCAGTTTCGGATCAACACCAGTTTGTGACTGTATTGGATTTATATTAACATAGGCACTTAGAATCAACGGCAATTGTAATAGAATGGAAAGAACACTGACAAAGGAATATCTAGAAATTGTATTGTAGTGAAACAAATCCAGGGCTGTACTAGACTGGCCCAATCTGAATTGTACTGATATGAATACAAACTGTCCACAACGTAAATTAGTCAGGGGTCCCAAGTATTGGTAAATCAATACGCTTGCAGCGGTAAATAATTCCCCAAAATAAATAGCTCTGTAAGTTTTTGACATTGGATGCTGACCAGATTAGTTTTAGTGGACTCACCTAGCTAAATGCGCTCGGTCATCCATCCGCACCAGATCACGTGTGGGAACGCCGTGCTCAACATCTACTGCAATCGTTAGTCAGATTAGATCAGACAATTCCGATATATTGGTTATCTTCAAATACACTCTTCCGACCTCCTCGATTCTGCCTTTTGATTTCTCTTGGTGGGTAAGAGTGATATTAGATGTTACTAGTAAAAGCGTTGTCAAACACTGAATACTTGTGCCATCTTCACGACCAACAAGTAGATAGATAGGCAGATGAATATTACAAAGATTCTTACTTTGAGCATTCAAATTAATCAACCACTAATTAACCAAAAGAACTATACTAATACTTTTGAAAGGCACATGCTCAGTTGAATGTCGTATTCCAAAACAAATAGACGGTTGCTTTTAACATGTCCGTATTGAAAGCCATACAATTTCATGCACTATTACACAAATACAGAGCTACTCTGTGTGCTAGAAAGTCTGCCGACTAAATCCTGTGAAGTAGGCAATAGCAAAACATGAGCTCAACTACATGGTGGCTTTAGAATTCATCCGGCCTTCAAACAGTGCATGGCAGCAATAACTGGTGTTTTCGTGGATCAGAGTTCTAGAGGTTCCTGGGTCGGGGTACCACAACTGAGGAGTTCCATGCTAGGAAGAAACTGCCGTCCAGTGCCCATGGGTTTCCCATGGTAGCCTAGATGACATCGGCTCGTGAAATCAGCTGCTCAAATCACTACAATCTCCACACATATCATTCTGATTTACAATTTATCCGGCATTCAAACAGTGCATAATATCCGAGTTTCGTATAGTCTCGGATAAAGGCAATAGTAGCTGACAACCTAAAGAGCTTATTCGCTAGGCACGAAGAAACTCTATAATCTCAAAAGTAGATTGAGCAAACGTTTGTCTGTCGGACAGTAACTTGACAAAGACATTTATCATTTTTGTCAGAGGTCGATGCACTTTGAAAGATAGTATCCAAGCCGATTATATATCGCCGCTCGGGGTACCCAGACACGTTCTCATGTAAACCAAATGCACCCGACTAAAAATGTGCTCAGTAAAACTAGTAACGTTGATGCCAATGTCGAAGACCTATAGAGCAGCATTCAGAAATCAATTTGTCATTACAGCTCATTTCATCCTTAATGCTGTCATGAGGAATTAAGGACGTAAACTCTCTCCTGTTTGTTCGCACGATTCGTGGAACTATGTCGTTTTTTTATTTGTGGGAGCTACGGGAAGAATATAAATAAGTACTAAAACGACAGACAGATTTTTCGATTTCACTTCAATTCTTTCTTTTTCTTTTTCAGTCCATAAATAAAGAAGTGAAAATTTAAATATGTAGTGGTATTTGTCCCAACCACACAATCCTCAAAACTGAACATGAGGTAACTGAGAAAATAGATATTCAAAATGTAGAGGTAAATAAATCCCCAAAACCAATAGCTCTGTAAGTCTTTGACAATTCGTGCTGACCATATTAGTTTTAATTGACTTGTACTGTAATCGGACCATAACCACACAATCCTAAGAGCTGAACTCGAGACTACTCGGAAAACTAATATTCAATAGTTAACGCGGAGAAATATCTAACGATGGCGCAGGCGGAAACAATGAATGAAATTAATTCGAGTTGATCTGATGGCATGGCTCGGCCATGTAGGCGTGGTCCCTGCTGAATGTTACCTTATATCTTTCATTCATATTAAAAATATTGTTCTTTCTCTAGCTTAAGCTTGTTCTCCATCATGTATTAGTAATTGTTACGATGGTGTGAGTTGGTGTAGACGATGGTATGACTTCCACGTAAGATCTTATAGATTAGGCATGACAAATGTACAATTTTTGGATTTGGCCTATTATTAAAGCAGTATCAGTATCATAGTATACCGTAATTAAACAAGTCCATATATTGCTTTGCATAGATATTCTAAGTTGTTCCCTGGTTGACGATACTATAAAGGTTCTAAGGAGAGATGCTTACATCTATCTAGCAGTCGGCGTATGAAGCGTCTTTGGACATCTTCTACTCTTATCTTGTCTGGGGTATTTATGTTTAAGAGGGCACAAGAGTAATGTTCAAGGGAGGGTGGTATACAAATTCTGTAAAGTGTTAGCTTAGCCTCTGTTGTGAAGAAATTTTTCATTAAGAAAACAACTAGCCGTCTAGATTTAGAAATAATACACGAGACATGTTCTTCAAACTTAAGGTTCCCTGTTTATGATTCCATACTTGTTGAGGTCAAATGGTAATTGCCACTTGTCGCTCCGGATAGTTAGGTTAATAAGGTTACTTTGAATCTGGGATACAATTTCTTTTAGAGCTTCGGGCTCTGTTGGGGAAGTTGAGACAAGAAAGGTTGTCTATACGAGCCATCATCAAAAGTTCTTTGACCAACCACTTATCTCATTCTTAACAACATTTCTGTCACTGGACCGTGTTGCAGATTGATATTATCAAGAAGTTGGTGTAACCGTTGTCAATATGTTAGATCTCCGCGTTTCAGAACAGACTGTTTTGAAGTTCAATAAGGTTTCGAAACGTCACTGTCAAACATACTAGATGTGAGGTATCTGTAGAATTCGCGTGGTAGTATCTTTGTAAAATATCAGCAAATGAACTCGCAGTAAATCCAATGTTTCTCTTAGCAATCTGGTCAAAGCTTTTTCAAGGAAATAATATACAAATGATATATAAAGTACCAAAAAGGAACAGACTCACAGTTCGCAAGTTTGTGTGCCAGATCACGTCGGGCTCACCAATGAAGATGCCACATGTCGTTGGAGTTCAAAAACGCTTTAATTAGTAACACCTAATATGAATCGCACCTACCAAGTGACATCAAAAGACAGAAGCGAGGAGGTTCGAAGATATATTTGATAGGCTGTCAATATATCGAGGATCGACTGATCTAGACTGGCTAGCGATTGCGGGGTATGTTAGCACAGAGTTCCCACTCGTGATTTGGTGCGGATGCATGACCGAGCACCTTCATAATGTCCTAAATTCTTGTAGGTCACTCAATGTTTTCTCACTTCGAAAATTTCACAATTTTAAATTCCTGTATATTCTTCTATTTGCAATCTGTCCTTACCATCTCTAAACCACATATAATCTAACCTGTGTTTTTTACCTTTTACCATTAGCTATCTCCTTAGCAGTGTGATATAATAAATGGATATCTAAACCACAATACAGAATCTGTGACCATTTGATTTGCTTGTGGCATGGAACTAGTAGAGATAGTGTATTCCAACAAGGAGCTAAGATTTAAGCAATATTCATACACGCCACAGACGCAAAACAGTCTTACTTCACAAAAGGAGGGAGAGTTATGTTACTGGCCAGCAAACATGATGGTGGGGAGATAGCTGCGATCCACCCATGTCTGTAGGCAGAACATTTTGTTTAATTACGACTCGTTA